TGACAGAGTCATTGATACCCTCCCTATTGCAACTATGCACTCAGTGTCTGAATATGAGACAGGGACACTGTCTGCCAGCCTGGCTTAAGCTTCTAGGAAATGTTCCCTCTACTAGACTCAAAGGTTACAGAGCGGGAACACAGCCTGGTGCTCCGTTACCACTTGTCCAACATAGCAAAACTGTTGTTTGCTTCTGCTGCTGCATTCTTGCCATAGATCACATTGATTTCCCTGCCCAAGGGATATCGGTGTCTTAGTAATGTGTTGGCAGAAAGGGTAAAGAGTTTCAGTTTCTATGTTCTGAACGTAGAACAGGTTTCTGTGTTAACAACAAGAAGCAATGGATGGAAAGTTTTGGTCGCAACGATGTAAAAAAGGTATTGAGACTCTAGAACAGTGGTTCTCAACCTGTGGGTGGGGACCCCATTTGGGGTCGAATAACCATTTCACGGGGGTCGCCAAACAATGCAGTCTGCCATTTTTTCCCCCTTTTCCTTAGCTGTGCTCCTCCCTTTTATTCTATTGGCTTTTGAAAGCCAATAGAATAGACTCTCTTGAATAGAGTCTAATTCTATTGGCTTTAAAAAGCCAATAGGAATTGTCCAGGCTGTCTCTGCCCTGCTGAGCCCGCCAAAAGTCCCATTCTGCAAACGGTGCTGCACCAGTTGAGTAGTCCTCGACTTACGACCAATTGAGTAGTCCTCGACTTACGACCGGTTGGGGGGTCACAGCATTAAAAAGGTTGAGAACCACTGCTCTAGAAAGAGTGCAGAGAAGAGCAACTAAGACGATTAGGGGACAGGAGGCTAAACTGTATAAAGAACAGTTTAGCCTCCTGTCCCCTAATCGTCTTAGTTGGAATTGGGTATGTCTAGTTTAATGAACCCCTTTATGGATTACTGCCTTGTCGTGGCGAAGGGGCTTGCGTAACTCAATGAAGCTATAAGCTATGCCGTGCAGGGCCACCCAAGATGGACAGGTTATAGCAGAGAGTTCTGACAAAATGTGATCCACTGGAGAAGGAAATGGCAAACCACTCCAGTATCTTTGCCATGAAAACCCCATGGACAGTACTAAAAGGAAAAAAGATATGACGCTGGAAGATGAGCCCCTCAGGTCGGAAGGTGTCCAATATGCTACTGGGGAAGAGCAGAGGGCTAGTACTAGTAGCGCCAGAAAGAATGAAGCGACTGGGCCAAAGCCGAAAGGACGCTCAGCTGTGGATATATCTGGTGGTGAAAGGAAAGTCCGATGCTGTAAAGATTTTTTCTCCATAGGAACCTGGAATGTAAGATCCATGAATCAAGGCAAGCTAGACGTAGTCAAAAAAGAGATGACAAGAATGAACATCGACATCTTAGGAATCAGCGAACTAAAATGGACAGGAATGGGTGAATTTAACTCAGATGACCATCAGGTATACTACTGTGGGCAAGAATCCCTCAGAAGAAATGGAGTAGCCTTCATAGTCAATAAAAGAATAGGAAAAGCAATACTGGGATACAATCCCCAAAATGACAGAATGATCTCAATTCGAATCCAAGGCAAACCATTCAATATCACAGTAGTCCAAATCTATGCCCCAACCACTGGTGCTGAAGAGGATGAAATTGACCGGTTCTATGAAGCCCTACAGCACCTTATAGAATTAACACCAAAAAATGATGTCCTTATCATCATGGGGGATTGGAATGCTAAGGTAGGAAGCCAAAAGATAACCGGAATAACAGGCAAGTTTGGCCTTGGAGTACAAAATGAAGCAGGGCACAGGCTAATAGAATTTTGTCAAGAGAATACGATGGTCATAACAAACACTCTTTTCCAACAACCCAAGAGACGGCTCTACACATGGACATCACCAGACGGTCAACATAGAAATCAGATTGACTATGTACTCTGCAGCCAAAGATGGAGAAGCTCTATACAGTCAGTAAAAACAAGACCAGGAGCTGACTGTGGCTCAGATCATGAGCTTCTCGTTGCAAAATTTAGGCTTAAATTGAAAAAAGTAGGGAAAAGCACTAGGCCACTCAGGTATGAACTAAATCATATTCCTGATGAATATACAGTAGAGGTGACAAATAGATTTAAGGAACTGGATCTGATAGACAGAATGCCTGAAGAACTATGGATGGAAGTTCGCAACATTGTACAAGAGGTAGCAACTAAAACCATCCCAAAGAAAAAGAAATGCAAGAAAGCAAAATGGCTGTCTGAGGAAGCTTTGCAAATAGCTGAGGAAAGAAGGGAAGCGAAAGGCAAAGGAGAAAGAGAAAGATACACCCAATTGAATGCAGAATTCCAGAGAGTAGCTAGAAGAGATAAGAATGCCTTCTTAAATGAACAGTGCAAAGAAATAGAAGAAAACAACAGAATAGGGAGGACCAGAGATCTCTTCAAGAAAATTGGAGATATGAAGGGAACGTTTCATGCAAAGATGGGCATGATAAAGGACCAAAATGGCAGAGACCTAACAGAGGCAGAAGAGATTAAGAAGAGATGGCAAAACTACACAGAAGAACTATACAAGAATGAGCTTAACATCCCAGATAACCACAATGAGATGGTCACTGACCTCGAACCAGACATCCTAGAATGTGAAGTGAAATGGGCCTTAGAAAATCTGAGCAACAACAAAGCTAGTGGAGGTGACAGTATTCCAGCTGAGCTATTCAAAATCTTAAAAGACGATGCAGTAAAAGTGCTACACTCAATTTGCCAGCAAATTTGGAAAACTCAACAGTGGCCACAGGATTGGAAAAGGTCAGTTTACATTCCAATTCCAAAGAAAGGCAATGCCAAAGAATGTTCAAACTATCGCACCATTGCACTCATTTCACATGCTAGTAAAGTTATGCTTAAAATCCTACAAGCTAGACTCCAGCAGTATGTGGATCGAGAACTACCAGAAGTACAGGCAGGATTTCGAAGAGGCAGAGGAACTAGAGATCAAATTGCCAACATACGCTGGATCATGGAGAAAGCTAGGGAGTTCCAGAAAAACATCTACTTCTGCTTCATTGACTATGCAAAAGCCTTTGATTGTGTGGATCACAACAAATTGTGGCAAGTTCTTAAAGAGATGGGAGTACCAGACCATCTCATTTGTCTCTTGAGAAACCTATATGCGGGTCAAGAAGCAACAGTGAGAACCGAACACGGAACCACTGATTGGTTCAAAATTGGAAAAGGAGTCCGGCAAGGCTGTATACTGTCGCCCTGCCTATTTAACTTATATGCAGAGCACATCATGAGAAAGGCAGGGCTAGATGAATCAAAAGTTGGAATTAAGATTGCCGGGAGAAATATCAACAACCTAAGATATGCAGATGATACCACTCTAATGGCAGAAAGTGAAGAGGAACTAAAGAGCCTCTTGATGCGGGTGAAGAAGGAGAGTGCAAAAGTTGGCTTGAAACTCAACATTAAGAAAACCAAAATCATGGCATCCGGCCCTCTCAATTCCTGGCAAATAGATGGGGAAGAAATGGAGGTAGTGACAGATTTTATTTTTCTGGGCTCCAAGATCACCTCAGATGGGGACTGCAGCCAAGAAATTAAAAGACGCTTGCTCCTGGGGAGGAAAGCTATGGCAAATCTAGACAGCATACTAAAAAGCAGAGACATCACCCTGCCAACAAAAGTGCGTATAGTCCAGGCCATGGTTTTCCCAGTTGCAATGTATGGCTGTGAAAGTTGGACCATAAGAAAGGCTGAGCGCAAAAGAATTGAGGCCTTTGAACTGTGGTGCTGGAGAAGACTCCTGCGAGTCCCTTGGACTGCAAGGCGTTCAAACCGGTCGGTCCTAGAAGAGATCAACCCCGACTGCTCTTTAGAAGGCCAGATCCTGAAGTTGAAACTCAAGTACTTTGGCCACTTAATGAGAAGGAAGGATTCACTGGAAAAGGGCCTAATGCTGCGAAAGATTGAGGGCAATAGAAGAAGGGGACGACAGAGAATGAGATGGCTGGATGGAGTCACCGAAGCAGTAGGTGTGAATTTAAATGGACTCCAGAAGGTGTTAGAGGACAGGAAGACCTGGAGGAATGTTGTCCATGGGGTCGCGATGGGTCGGACACGACTTCGCAATTAACAACAACAACAAGTTTAATGAAGAGAAGGACGAGTTTAATGAAGAGAAGGACATGATGGCAGTGTTCCAATATCTCAGGGGTTGCCATAAAGCAGGGGTTCCCAACTCCTGGTCCGGGGACCGGTATTGGACCGCGGCATGCCAGCAACCGGGCCGCACAAACAAGCAAAGCCCCATCCATGGTATGCAGGCAGCATACAAAACCATGCCCCCTCTGGTGGAAAAACCTCTCTCCACGTAACCGGTCCCTGGTGCCCAAAAGGTTGGGGACCTCTGCCATAAAGAAGCACCGGAAGGCAAGACAAGAAGCAATGGATGGAAACTAATCAAGGAGAAAAGCAACCTAGAACTAAGGAGAAATTTCCTGGCAGTTAGCACAATTCATCAGTGGAATTTGCTTACAGAGGTTGTGGCTTCTCCATCACTAGAGGTTTTAAGAAGAGACTGGACAACCATTTGTCTGAAATGGTATAGGGTTTCCTGTCTGAGCAGGGGGTTAGACTAGAAGATCTCCAAGGTCCCTTCCAGTTTTGTTATTTTGTTATTCTATGTTTGATGCTCCTTTATGGAAAAGGGCAGAAGTCTTCTCCCTGCATGGAGAAGCTTGACTTGATTACATGATGGTTTACAATTCTCTGTTGCTTCTGAGCTTGGTTTATTTATTATTTATTTATTTATGAGACTTATATACCGCTTTAAGTGCAAGCACTCTCTAAGCGGTGTACACCAGTAAGCAATGTATATATATATATATATATACATTGCCCCCAACAATCTGGGTCCTCATTTTACCTACCCCGGAAGGGTTTATTTCTGAGGTAGGATTCCAAGTCTGAAACATCAGGATCATGAGATTTTACAATTAAGGGATTGCTCTGGTAGATGTAAAGACTTTTGAGCCTCTGGATGGGGTCATCCAATGTATTAAAGTCCATACAAACATGCAATACTAGGGCTTGATATTGTGTTCACACCACATGCAAAACTAACAGCTGGGCATCCTACAACTCACTGAATTACAATCTACCCTGACCTGTTTTTAGGCTAGTCTGACCACACAATTACTCAAAATTGACTAGTGTTTTAAAATGTTTCTTCTCCAAATTTGCATTGTTTTTAGCTAAAGAAAAAAGTGAGGTAGCAAAGCACTCTCAATCCAGCTAGAGAGTATATGTGTATATGTACCAAAACACACCGCATGAATATAACCTTAGATATACTTCTATTTTACCTGGGAGTAAAAATTCAAGGAGTGTTCTCCCATGAAAACCTATTTAGTTAGGATTGCAACCTGTATTGGGGGGAAGAAAAACCCTTAAAATGTGTTTAGATCTTTTCTTACGTCACTTTGACTTTTTTCAGTCTAGTCAGTTTTTGCAATTATACCCTGTAAAAACGTTTATCTCCTGCATGGATGAAAAGGAAGGCCACCCACAGAAAATTTGTCGTGTGTGTGCACGGGCACGCCCAGCAGCAGGGAAGGTCTCCAACTCCTTTTTTGCACAGAAGGAATTCTTCAGCACTCAGGTTGCGCTGCAGAGTTGGTGGTTCATTAACCCTTTCAGGCTGCACAGTCCTTTCTTCCAGTCGGCACAATCTGCGCTGCTCACCACTCTCTTCTTCAGATAAGCACAGGGTCCGTCTCCCTCCACTTCAAAGCTGCAAAGCAATAGAGAGTTGCTGGCATATCTAATTTTGTATGTATTAATAGTAGTAAGGACTGTTATTTGTTCAGTGTTGGGAAAATGAAAACACTATGGCAGGGGTAGACAACCTTGGCTCTTTTATGACTGGTTCGCTCCCTAGAGACTAAAATGGATGATCTGAAACTTGAGCTGGCCACGAACAAGGAGTGTATATCGGAGGTGGTGACCCTTTGAGAGCTGTATGCAACGAAATTTCATTTTGATGTATGCCGATTGGTGTACATTCAAAGTGACAATAAAGTTATTATTATTATTATTCCAATCCAGAGCCTTGGAGCTGTTTGCAATAGACCAGATGTAGACTGAGACAATTACAGAGCTTTTATAACTTCTAACCTCACATGCTTACACATGCTGGTTACTATGATCTTTCACTCCCAAACATCTGCCATATTGTAATGATTTTTTTTTGAAGACTTAATGGAGAGTATGGTCTGAGTATCCAATGGTAGGAAGAACTTACGGGTTTTTGAACAGGGTCCCATCTGGCCATTTCCAGCTCTCTTCAGGACTTCTATGGAGGCCAACCCAGTGGTTAAAGGGCTCCCTGACATTCATGGCACCAATCTGTTTTTGAATTAAAAAAAAGAAACAAAATATGGGTGTCATGGTTCCGACAGATGAAACTCTTCAAAAGAACTTCGAGGCATTGTTTTCCTTAAAGCAGCGGTTTTCAACCTATGGGTCGCGACCCCATTTGGGGTCGACCGACCATTTTACGGGGGTCGCGAAACAACACGATCCGCCATTTTCTCCCCCAGGGGGCGCTGGCTCGCATGCGCTCTGCGCATGGGGGCGCCGCTGTGCATGCGTGCTGCGCGTGGGGGCACCGCCATGCATGCACGCCACGTGTGGGGGCGGCGCCACGCGTGCACGCCGCGCATGGGGGCGCCCCGCGTGCACGCCGCGCATGCGCGGTGCGTCCATGTGACGGAGGTCGCCGTCACACGAAGATTGAGAACCGCTGCCTTAAAGAATCTTTATTATGAGTAGCATAACTTCGGCACTGCATAATCAAAGCCAAAAACTGAATTCCCCTCCCCTGAGCACATAGTATCAAAGCACAATTCCCTCCTCCAATTGACAGTCATAAATCACATTCCTTATCAGCTCTGGTTACAATAACCTTGTTTCTCACGCTAGGTCCAATGTTGTTATGTCTAGCTGGACTCTCCTTCACATTCCCCCTCCCAGCATCATCTAACTCTAAAAGCAAAAGGTAAAAGATGGCTACATTTCCCTTTGTTGTCAATGCAAAAACATCCAATGTTAGCAGTTGACATTTTAGAAATTGAGTTCTGTTTCTTCCATCATCACTCCTCATATATGTGCACATATACGTATATGTTTTATCAACAACGACCATTCATATTCTAAAGAAAATCCACTATCTGGATTGCTTGAATTACACAATCTGCTTCTGGGGTAATAATAGTTTGTAATAGTAGTAAAGTTGCAAGGGACCTTGGAGGTCATCTAGTCCAACCCCCTGCTCCAGTCTCTTCTTAAAAACATCCAGTGTTGGAGCATTTACTGCTTCTGGAGGCAGGCTGTTCCACTGATTAATTGTTCTCACTGTAAGGAAGTTTCTCCTTAGTTCTAGGTTGCTTCTCTCCTTGATTAGTTTCAACCCGTTGCTTCTTGTCCTGCCTTCAGGTGCTTTGGAAAATAGCTTAATTCCCTCTTCTTTATGGCAGCCCCTGAGATTTATTTTATTTTATTTATTTATTTATTTATTTATTTATGAGACTTATATACCGCTTTTAAGTGCAAGCACTCTCTAAGCGGTGTACACCAGTAAGCAATGTATATATGTATATATTTACATTGCCCCCAACAATCTGGGTCCTCATTTTACCTACCTCGGAAGGATGGAAGGCTGAGTCAACCTTGAGCCGGTGACATTTGAACCGCTGACCTGCTGAGCACAGTCAGCTAAAGTGGCCTGCAGTACTGCACTCGTAACTGCTGCACCACCTCGGCTCATATTGGAATATTGGAATACTGCTATCATGTCCCCCCCTCATCCTTCTCTTCGTTAAACTAGACATACCAGAGGATAAAGCAACATCTGGAATGAGATTTAAATTCCTGGAATATCCTGGAAAGATAACGACAGGCTCTTATTTCATAAAAGAGTGAAAGAGTAGGCAGGTCTGATTGAGCGTAACTGCAGATAACAATTTTGACAGATTCTTCTCTTACCAGTTTCTCTAGATCCCCAAAGACAGCCAAGGTGGCCCCAAAGGAGAGACAATGATTCTGACTAGCATTCCAGGTGTCTTTGGTTTCCATAACATGATAGCAATTTCCTTGGTTGTTGTGCCAGCCCGTTGGGCAACAGGAAGTGGTGGCAGCAGCAGAAGGCAAATGAGGTTTAGCTTCTGAAAATACAAATTCATGTTATTTAATAGATTATTATCCTCAGCCCTTTATTTAGGAACAGAGGTGGGGAACTATGGCCCCTTTATGACTTGTGGATTTCAACTCCCAGAATTCCTGAGCTAGCATGGGACTCAACTCCCAGAATTCCTCAGCATGGCCAGCTCAGGAATTCTGGGAATTGAAGTCTACAAGTCCTAAAAGGGCCATAGTTCCCCACTCCTGATTTAGAAGAACGTTTCTCAGCTTTGTGAATTTCTAGGTGCATGAACTTCAACTCCCAGAATTCCACAGTCAACATGGCCACTGATAAGAATTCTGCATAATATAGTTCTATCAATCATCTGTCTGAACATCCATTATACTAAACCTAGTTTTATTTTAACTACAGTTGGTTGAATGGACCTAACATAGGGTTTGATGTACATTTGGCTGTAAGCAAGAACAACCGCTGAGCAAAAAGAACAAAGAGAGGCAAATATTATTATACCTCATTGCACAGCCAGTCAGATGTTTTGACTGGATCTGGCACCTACTGATTCCTTCCCAAGGATCTGAGATAGGCAGATGTTGTTTGAAGGCATGAAAGATATTCTCACAAAATATACGTTGTTCCAAGTAAAGCTCCCTGAGATGGAGATTTTGTCAAAGCTGATGATATTCAAGTGATGCCTCAGTTGTTTTGGGCTTCCACTCAAGGTACCTATCACTATTTCTGCTATATTTGCTTTCTTTATAATAACATTATTATTATTACAGAATTAGGGAAACGCTTTTATTTGAACACCAACATCTCCGTATATTTTGGAAGTCTGCAGCTATCCTTCCCCAAAATGATCTCATTACAGGAAAAAAAAGTAAACACCGTCACAGCAAAAGACAAATAACTTCTTTAGCAAAAAACAACAAAAAACCCAAATAAATTATTGTGTCAAATTATGTTCCTCAGAAGCTAGGAATAATAATTAAAAACAATTATCTGGGGCTCGATTTTACAAAAGAAAAAAAAATGAGTTGTTGCAAGTTTTCATATTGGTAGTATGACAAAGTGGATTTTAAGACCTTCTCCTTAGAACAGTGTAATTTTGGGGCAGTTGTTTCAAACAGACAGTGTCTTGGCTTCCCTTTTATGACCTTAGTTTGACACAGATGTCAGATAAGGAGGCGCACCAGATAAACGGCTGCTGGAGCTGAGCAATCTGCCAGGACAGGAATCATTAAAGTGGTTTCACATTTTTTCCTTCCCAATTACAAAAATATTTATTTCAAAGATGATTTGCTGCAAACAAAAGAAAAACGTGTAGGCTCACTCTGATATTCTCCAAACTCTGTGCAGAGTTCAGGGATTCACTGCTGTTCCCCAACCTAAAAGAGATTGCTGGGATTTGTATCCATAGTCTGTGGGGCTTTCTGGATGTGTGATTCCCACTGAATTACAATGCGGGAAAGCAATGAACAACACTCTGCTCTAAGCAACTGCCTGCTTGCATGATGGGTGATGTTCTCCAGAATAAGAAAGAAAGACAAAGGAAAACCCAATATTTTCATAAACTAACTTCAGTAATGTTGTACCCTAAAAAGTAAACTGCCTGTTATGTGGGAAGTTATTTGAAATATTTCTCAAAACAAAACTGCAAACGATGTGTGCGTGGACAGAGACAGGTAGTCCTCGACTTAATTGAGCCCAACATTTCTGCTGCTAAGCAAGACAGTTAAGTGAGTTTTGCCCTATTTTACGACCTGCAATGGTTATTCAGTGAATCACTGCGGTTGTTAAGTTAATAACCTTGTTGTTAAAGGAACCAATTGACTTTGCTTGTCAGAAGATTGCAAAAGGGGATCACATGAGCAATGAGCAATAGTGCAATCGTCATAAATATGAGTCAGTCGCCAAGTATCTGAATTTTGATCATGTGCAACATGGGGATGCTGCAATGGTCGTAAGTGTGAAAAACGGTCCTAAGTCATTTTTCCCAGTGCTGTAGTAGAGTCCATAGGGCAGTAGTGGCAAAACTTTTAGAGACCGAGTGCCCAAATTACAACCCAAAACCCACTTATGTATTGCCGGGTGCCAGGTGGGTGTGGCCCACTGGGTGGGCGTGGCTGTGGTGGTCATGGCAGACTGGGTGGGTGTGGCCAAGGTGGGCATGGTCACCTTGATGTTGCTTGTGGGGAGGGATGTCTGTGGGAGCCGGGCAGGGTTGGGGGACATCCAGGGGGTCTCTGGCAGGTGGGGCAGTGGACAGAAGGCTCGTCCTGTGGGGTGAGGTGAGCCAAGGTGAGGTAGGGCGGGGGTGCCATTGTCGCAAGGCAAGGCAGGGGCCAGGATGGTTGCTGCCTGACACCATCGGCCCCCCCACACAGAGGCCAGTGAGCGCATGGGGGCTGGCAGTGTCTGTCAGCAGCCACAGCCTGCCAGCCCCTTGACCAGTACACTCTGGGGCTCCGCAGTGCGCCACCAGCAATTCAGAGAAGCTGCCTCTGAGCAGGACAGCCAGCCAACAGCTGAGGAGGAGATGCAGTGGGTCGTGCCCAGGAAAAGGAGAGCATGCGAGGCCGGGAGGGATGAGATGAGGGGGAGGGAAACCAGCCATGCTGGGATGCATCCGGCCACATGGGACCTCAGCAAGTTAACAGGTGGCTGGTTGAAGAGGGACGGTTGCCATCTCTGGAGCATGGCACATGTGCCCACAGAGAGGGCTCTGAGTGCCACCTCTGGCATGCGTGCCATAGGTTCGCCACCACTGCCATAGGGTCTGAACAGAAGATATGGCTGCCTTGAACACTAGGCCTTCTTCTCACATTGATACTGGATCTTTTTGTTAAGGTGGGGATCCAGGATTAGGATATTTTCTTTTGAAGGGCCTCAACTTACCATCACTAAATGAATTGTTGTAAGTTGAGGACTGCCTGTATTATTCCAAAGGATGAAACTTGGATAGATGAATAGGGAACATGAGTCTGTCACTCACTTGTGAAAACGAAGATGGTGGTTACCAAGCCCACAATCTGAATGACAAAGAGTATGAGGACAATCCACGTAATTGAGTTCTTGACCCTTGTGTTGGGTTGGGTGCCTACAAAGGAAAAGATCATATGTCATTATAATTTATTTTTGATTGCATTTTTAAAAAGACTTTTCTTCCCAGGAAGCTTAGAAATGGCTTAGTCATGCAGTGTTTCTCAGTCTTGATAACTTTAAGGCATGTGAACTTCAACTCCCAGAATTCCACAGCCAGCATTGCTGGCTGTGGAATTCTGGGAGTTGAAGTCCACATGCCTTAAAATTGTCAAGGTTGAGAAACACTGGTTAGTGGATCCTGTACTACCTTGGCAACAGTTTCATGCCCCTTCAAAGCACCCATTATTGAGATTAAACATAGGTGTGATCAGAAAGGCTGTCAGTTTCTTTTTTCTTCCTTCCTTTCTCTCAACTGTATTTAACATCTTGTTGAATAAACAGTTCTTAACAGATCAAATGTTTGCATTCTGCTTGATTAATCCAACCTGAGTTGGCTTAATAAATATGTACTTCAAGGTGTCTCTCTACTAATTATTTCAGCAGGTTGTCCTTGAGATCTAGACCACAAACCATAACTTCAAAGAGTCAGATAAGTAAACAGACACTTCTAAATCACTGGGGAGCTTGCTGTGCTCCAGATGTGGCTAAAGCAGTGGTTCTCAACCTGTGGGTCGGGACCCCATTTGGGGTCAAACGACCATTTCACGGGGGTTGCCAAACAATGCAGCCCGCCATTTTTCCCTCCCTTTTCCTTAGCTATGCTACTCCCTTTTATTCTATTGGCTTTTGAAAGCCAATAGAATAGACTCTCTTGAATAGAGTCTAATTCTATTGGCTTTCAAAAGCCAATAGGAATTGTCCAGGCTGTCTCTGCCCTGCTGAGCCTGCCAAAAGTCCCATTCTGCAAACGGTGCTGCACCAGTTGAGTAGTCCTCGACTTATAACCGGTTGAGTAGTCCTTGACTTACGACCGGTTGGGGGTCGTGGCATTAAAAAGGTTGAGAACCATTGGGCTAAAGTAAGACTCTCAGCATGTCTCCCCATGGTCTGGCTGTCTGTGGCTGCTCAGAGGTAATGGTGAGCATCATCTGGAAGGCAATATGGAACCTGCTGTAAAAGGTGCCCCAGTCACCTCAGTGATGGGACACACCCTGTGCTCATAAAACATTATATGTCTATGGATGAGTCTCAATCCTCCAGGTCATGATTGCCCCAGAGGTGCTTTTTCTAAAAGACAACTGGACTTTCTTGGGTTTTTTTTTTATTTGAAAACATTTCACTTCTCACCCAAGAAGCTTCTTCAGTTATAACTGACTGGTGAGGAATGGAAGGATTTGTATTCTTTGCAGTCATCCATTGTTAGATCTCTGAGAGTCACTGAGTCCACTTAGAAATTTTATGTATCCTCAAAATCAGTTGACTCAGAGTGTAAACAAGCGTGGAACCTTCTTGGGAATGCTGAAAGGACAAGGTTCCACACCTGTTTACACTTCTGATTTGGCCTAGATTAATTCCCAGAGTCTCTATTAAGCCAAACTAGTTCCTTGGATGACAAGCAAATAAGGAAGGATGCATTATGTATTAAGAATTTTTTGGAGAGCTTCTGATTTCTTAGCACCCAGTTGTGACCACATGGAACTGGAGCATATACAATAATGGCAAATAGAATAGAACAGAGGTCCCCAAACCCCGGCCTGTGGACCAGCAATGGGCTGTGGCATGGCAGAAACCAGGCCACACAAACAAGCAAAGCCCCATCCGCGGGATGCAGGCAGAACACAAAACCACATCCCTTCCGGTCTGCGGAAAAATCTCTCCACAGAACCGGTTTTATGGTGCCCAAAAGGTTGAGGGTCTCTGGAGTAGAACATTGTTTCTCAATCTCAGCAACTTCTAGACGTGTGGACTTCAACTCCCAGAACTGCCCAGCCAGGATAGCTGGCTGGTGAATTCTGGGAGTTGAAGTCCACACATCTTCGCCTTACTGAGGTAGAGCTACAGGACCTTGGAGAGCTCCAACTTGAAAGCTTGTTCCATGGAGTTTGGTGCTCAGTGGAGTCATTCAATCTTCCTATAGCAGGGGTAGGCAACCTTGGCTCTTTTATGATTCGTGGACTTCAATTCCCAGAATTCCTGAGCCAACCATGCTGAGGGGAAAGAGAGAGGTTTCCAAGCTGAGCCATGCTGGCTTAGGAATTCTGGGAGTTGAAGTCCACGAGTCATAAAAGAGCCAAGGTTGCCTACCCCTGTCCAACAGCAATCACGCACAGCCAAATGTCTGAGCATGTATTCAGAAGAAAAACTCTTAGTACTAAGTTCAGGACCATCTTTCCTCTTGGCTGACAACTGGAGCAGCCTAGAAATTCCCAGGATCCAAACAGTGAAATTGTCTCCCTGCAGTGCAGAGGAATATCCCACAATGCCAAGTGCCTTTTACCTGCTTCCTTCTTTTCTTCCAAGCTGAAGTCCACCCACTGCTCAACAGTTGCAGGTTTATTGTCTTTCTTGTCATCTTTGTTCCCATCAGTTGCCCCTCCTTCGAAAAATAAAGTGAAATTAGACATCTACTCTGCCTGAAGTAACATAAAGCTTCTTCCCTCTTGATTCTTGCAGATTCTATCACAGGGGACTTCAAACTTGGCCCTTATATGACTTGTGGACTTCAACTCCCAGAATTCCTCAGCCAGCCTGCCTGGCTGAGGAATTCTGGGAGTTGAAGTCTACAAGTCATAAAAGGGCCAAGTTTGAAGACCCCGGTTCTATCACATCATAGTGCCAGAAGTTAGCAGGGGGAGCTTACTTCGGAGGTAGGGAAATCTTACATATAGGTAGCCCTTGAATTACAACGGTTATAATTTGAAGTTACAACTGCACTGAAAAAATGATTTATGACCTTTTTTCATACTTGCGACCATTGCAGCATCCCCATGGTCACCTGATCAAAATTCAGATGCTTGACAACTGACTCATGTTTAGGATGGTTGCAGTGTCCCGGATCATGTGATCGCTTTGGCGATCTTCTGACAAGCAAAGTCAACGGGGAAGCCAGATTCGCTTAACAACCAGGTTACAAAGTTAGCAACTGCAGTGATTCACTTAACAACGGTGGCAAGAAAGGTCATAAAATGGGTCCAAAAACTCAACAACTGTCTTGCTTAGCAACAGAAAGTTTGGATTCAGTTGTGGTCATGAGCTGAGGACTACCTGTATTGGTATCTGGAACTAAATCCAAATGAACCTAAATGTTGTGGATGTCGGCCAAGTACTGTAAACCTGGCAAAGCCACTTTTTGAAGGAAGTAGAGGCAAATCTGTCCATTAACTACTTCAACGTAATGCCATCTTTTCCTACTGCGCAATCCCAGGAAAACAGAGGCAAAAGCTGCAGACGTGTGAAACTTGCACCCACACCTTCTGAACTATTTGCACCTAAATTTAATCCTGGCTGAAACAAGATAAGAGAAGAGTCCAGAGCCTCTTGGCTGGAGAATCCTGAGAGTTGAGGTCCACACATCTTAAAATTGCTAAGTCTGAGAAACACTGTTCCAGGCATGGAGATTCCTGACCCACTGGGTACACTAGCTATATCTGTGTGAAGTTCTTGTACAATAATGTTTTTAAACGTGGTGGATTATTGTGCCATGCCAGTAACAATATGCATGTCACCAAGCAAAACTGTTGGTGGCTTAGAAGTAGAATAGAATAGAGTATAGAATAGAATAGAGCTGGAAGGGATCTTGGAGGTCTTCTAGTCTAGCCCCCTGCTCAAGCAGGAGAACCTACACCATCTCAGACAAGTGACTGTCCAGTCTCTTCTTAAAGAGGGATGGAGCGCCCACGATTTCTGAAGGCGAGCCGTTCCAGTGGTTAATTGTCCTCACTTTTTGGAAGTTTTTCCTTAATTCCAGATTGCTTCTCTCTTTGATCAGTTTCCAATCATTGTTTCTTGTTCTGCCCTCTGGTGCTTTGGAGACTAATTTAACCCCCTCTTTTTTGTGGCAGCCCCTCAAATACTGGAATACTGCTATCATGTCACCCCTATTTCTTCTTTTCTTTAGACTTTAGATTTGGTAGATCTGGTAGAGGAAGGAGAGAAACTTATTTTAGAGCTTCTGGGTGGTTGGTTCAAGCATTTGACAGAATTTGCAATTCAGTGAAAGGAACCTCACTTTGGAAATTTCTTTTGTGGACTGATATTTAGGATTAGCCTCAGTTTTTTGTAACACTGAGAATCAGAATTTTGTGTGTATAAATTTTTTTTTTGAAGGTGAAATTATCCAGCTTCCTGTCTTATTATAATTTTTCTCCAGGCTTCCTTCTATTTCTTTGGTGGGCCAGTCAAGCAAACAGTCATCTTACGCAGGTAGTCCTTGACTTATAACCGTTCACTTAGTGACCATTCAGTGTTACAACGGCACTTAAAAAAGCGACTTATAACTATGTTTCACATTTACCTTTTTCTATGAAGTCTTCTTTGTTTATGTTTGAAAACTCTACCATGGAAGCATCGGTTGGCTGTGATTTTGGAAAACCGTCTTTTCCCCTAGGGAGAGAGGAAATTCATGATATAAAGGATATGTAATCGAAGAAGATCCAAACATTTGCCTTTTCCTATGATGGACTGTAGAGTAGAATATAATGCGATTATTTGACTAAACTGTATTCATAAAAGTTAGCAGTAGAAATGCAGGTAATCCTCAACTTACAACAGTTCACTTAGTGACTGTTCAAAGTTACGGCACTGAAAAAGTGACCTATGACCATTTTTCACACTTACAACCTTTGTAGCATCCCCAGGATCATGTGATCAAAATGCACAGACTTGGCAACTGGTTCATAACTTATAACCGTTGCTGTGTCCCAAGGTCACGTGACCCCCTTTGCGACTGTCTGACAAGCAAAGTCAACGGGGGAAGCCAGATTGACTTAACCACTGTGTTACTAGCTTATCAACTGCAGTGATTCAGTTAACAACTGTGGCAAGAAAGGTTGTAAAATAGGGCAAAACTCACTTAACAAATGTCTCCCTTAACAACAGAAATTTGGGGCCCAATTGTGGTTGTTAGTCAAGGACTACCTGTACTGTCTAAAGTAGCCTGTCAATAACATGGCAATCAGGCGCTATAAATAAGTAGAGTAGAGTGGAGTAGAGTAGAGTAGAATAGAGTAGAGTAGAATAGAATAGAATAGAATAGATCTGGAAGGGACCCTGGAGGTCTTCTAGTCCAGCCCCCTGCTCAAGCAGGAGGACCTATACCAGTGATGGCGAACCTTTTAGAGACTGAGTGCCCCAAAACCACCCCACACCCGTCCACCCACAGGGCCACTCACCGCCTCCATAGCCCGCCACAGCTGATTGCCCAGGTGGCCCAGCAGCACCAGGGCAGCCATGCCCTCTGCCTGCACCCCACAGAATCATCTACAAGCGATGGGGTGCAAGGGCAGAGTCTTGTCCTCACTGCTCAGCTGCCATGTCCTTGGCTACACTGCTCTGCATGGGCTGCGCCCGGGGGTGACTTTCTTCCAGGTGGCTGCTGGTGAGGGGGCCACGCGGGGAGGCGAGGCTGGGGTGACGGCTCATGTGCCCACAGAGAGGGCTCTGAGTGCCCCCTCTGGCACGCGTGCCATAGGTTCGCCACCACTGACCTATACCATCTCAGACAAGTGACTGTCCACTCTCTTTTTAAAAACCTCCAGTGATGGGGCACCCACGATTTCTGGGGGCAAACTGTTCCTCTGGTTGATTGTCCTCACTGTCAGGAAGTTTCTCCTTCATTCCAGGTTGCTTCTCTCTTTGATCAGTTTCCAACCATTGTTTCTCGTCCTTCCCTCTGGTGCTTTGGTGAACAACCTGACCCCTTCTGCCTTGTGGCAGCCCCTCAGATACTGGAATACTGCTATCATGTCTCATAAAGAAGGATCAAAATGGCTTTCTTGACTGAGTTTAGCACCTGGTTATTTCAGACTTCAGGTTCATATTGTTTCCTTGATAACAACACCGAAGTGGATTGATTACCTACCTTCACTCTAAGAAGGTTTTTTTTTTTTTTCATCAGCTTCCCAAATTAACTCAGACTTCTCATCCAGGTACTCAGCAAGTCTGGGTCTTATCTAGCTTTCCAGGCTGGCCAAGAACTGTCACAGGATGGGAGCTCTTAGCTCTAGAGATGGAAAGCGACAGCCTATAAGAGGCAGGCTGGTTTTGTTGGACCTGGTATGAGCTAAGCTCATCTATGAGCTGGCATTGGATGGAACCAGTGAGATACATCCATCTGCTGCAGGTCTAGATTTGAAAGTCTCAAAGGGTGGCGTGAAAGGCGAGGTGAGTGGCATACAAATCAAACAAACAAATGCCCCAACATGTTGGCGCATCGGCAAGAAAACACTTACCCATTCAAGACATTTCCAGTAGCCTAGGGAAAAAAGAAGGAGGTAAAGTATTATGGGATGCCTTGAATTTTTCTTTTGCAAAAAAGTCAAATAAGAGACAATTGTCACCTTATTAATGTCAGCCAGTTTGGTCTAGTTCAGGAGTAGGCAACCTTGGCTCTTTCATGACTCGTGGACTTCAACTCCCAGAATTCCTGAGCCAGCCATGCTGAGGGGAAAGGGAGAGGTTTCCAAGCTGAGCCATGCTGGCTCAGGAATTCTGGGAGTTGAAGTCCAGTTGTATAAAAGAGCCAAGGTTGCCTACCCCTGGTCTAGTTAATGGTTAAGGCATCAGGCTAGTCCTGTTTTAAGCATGAAAAACTCTCTGGGTTACTTTGGGCCAATCACTTTCTCTCAGCCCAACCCACAGGGTTGTTGTGGAGAAAATAGAAGGAATATTAGGTATGTTTGCTGCCTTGAGTTACTTATAAAATTAATAACAATGGGACAGAAATAAAAACATAAAAATATATAATAATTTAGCTCTGTTTTTCAATCCTGGACTTTGGATACAGCATGATATGATACTAAACCATATTACATATTATGTTAACGTCAAGTTAATTTTATGTTGTATTGTATTGTATAATATATTGGACTGTACTGTACTGTACTGTATTGTATTGTATTGTATTGTATCGAATCCATATTTTGGTTGAGAAGAACTTTGGTGCAAAGACAAAAAGATCTAAACTCCCTCATTCCCCTCCCCAATGTTATTTTTAAGTCAAACACTTCTGCAGTTGCTGTGGAATCTTTTGACAATATGATATCCATATTTCACATTTTTCAATCCCAGATGAGGGTTATATATAATGGGGGGGGGAAATAATCACAATTACCATGATGGATGCATATTGTACTTTTGCTGCAGCAAATATTTTTTAATCAGTCAGTTTGTTGTGACGAATAATAAATAAAACAAGTGAAAGTGAACTGGACTACTCTAATGAACATCATGTGGAGCTGCCCTTGGAGACTGTTTGGAGACTGGTGCAGATGATGGCTTTTCTATTGGTAAAAGATATCCAGAGGATTTTATCCCAGGGGTATTTAGGGACTGGCTCCCTATTGTCTTAGATACCTTGTTTTGAAGAATTATGCTGGCTTACCTGATTTTCTGGTTGATTCCTGGAAATGACAGTATGTGCCGCATGATCCCAGGATTTTCTGCAGAGTGAACAAAGGGGAACTTGATCCTCCAAACAGAAATGACTTAAGTCTTCTTTATGTATCATGCACACCTCTTGAGTTGACCAATTTGTTTCATCTACAGTTGCCTGTCTGACGGCTTCTTTCATTTTCCCCAGAAATTCTGTGGATCCCTGCTTGTTTTTCAATGAATCTCCTGTACAACTTGAACAAGGCGCTTTCTCTTTTACTTCATCCTCCAAGGATTGGCTGATGCACGTTAGAGAAGAGTTCACCCCACAGAATGGAGTGATTGGAGGTTGACAGTTGGTCAAACCAATCAAACAAACAGTTTCCCCTGTAGAAGGGCTTGAAGATGTGATCTTCTCCTGGTTCCCTAAGGAGGAAAACAGCAGAAATGTGGACTCATCCAAGAGAAGTTATAATGTATTCATATATTGTAAAATTGGAGTGCTTGTGGGTTGGGCCCCCTCTTTGTGTTCTTTCTAATGCGGTGTGTGTAACTATGGCAACTTTATGACCTGTGAACTTCAACTCCCAGAATTCCTGAGCCATCATGGCTGCTCAGGAATTCTGGGAGGTGAAGTCCACCCAGATTGTAAATTTGCCATACTTGCTCATCCCTGTTCTAAGGTCAGATAGATTATAGATTTAACCAACAGATATTTTTTTTCTCAGAAACTATCTTGAGTGATTTCTGCTCCTTAGGGGAAAATAGCATACATTAAACAATTATTTATTTGTCTTCTGGGAGGAGGCTTTACAGTATCCAAAGCAGAACAACTAAATTCTGTAATAGCTTTATACTATATAGCAGGGTGTCAAACTTCCGGATGCGTCATGCCGAAACTGCACCCACCCTATTGCCGGCAATGGAAAAAAAGTCACAATACATTGCGACATGTCACATGATGTTGCGAGTTTGATACTCCTTATAGTATCAACTCTCAAGACTTTTTTTTCTGATGTATACACATAAACATACACATACATATTCTTTTGAGAGCTGGCATCAGTATTTCATCTTTTAATGTGTGCCAGTGTGTTCACAGAAAAAAGTAACGATAAAGATTATCTTATTCCTTGTCAGAACTTTCATAATAATAAAAGTTGTTCTTACTTTCTACTTGATTCAGTATACATATGGAGAAGTTAATATCCATATGTAGGAAAAATCCTGAGACATTTATTGGAGAACAGGAATATGTAATTCTTCTTTATTAAAACAGTGACAACAAGAACCACAAGTGCTCCATGAAAGTAGAATGGGAAGATAATACTTAAAATAGTGATAAGCAAGTTTGAATACCACATGCTCGGTTTTATGTTCTAAGCCTTACAGCTATGTTTAAGTCCACGCCAAAAATATGCATTGTCTTACCCATATAGTCAATGATCTGAGATGAAAGTTATAGTTCCAGCGTCAGTCCTGTGATGTATGTGCATATGTATTTCTATTTTACTTGTGGCTATGTAGCTTTGTACTAGATGTTAATAAGGTGTGCAAAGAAAGATAAGCCATGAAAGATCTACAGGGGATTTAACTACACGCCTGCCCCAAAGCCTTTCAGTGGGTTTTGCATACAGATCTTTTGACTCAGCTGTTATCAAGGATCACTCCCTGCTTATCTTTCAAAAAGCATATGTCTAAATTAAGGCTATACCCTCGCTATTAGCTATCAGGAAGCTGCACAGGAGCTGCTGACAATATACAAGTATGTGTTTGTTTCAGCTAACAATTGCCTTGCCGGTCTTTTTTCTTAGAATGCTAGCATTTAACAATAGCTCGTATAATTGTCTTCTGCCAGAATATCTTAACAACTTAATTCATCGCTTCTCAGACTCCAGAAAGCAGCTGTTTGTGTCTTGCTTTGCTCTGGTTTTGCTGCTTCTCCTTAGTCTCTCAGCCTCACAAAGATGACGCAGAAAAGTCCGTGAATTGTCTCTCTTCCTGGATTCTATGAGGGGCAGAGCACGTATGGATCCTTCTCAAAAAACAGTTCAGCTCTCAAGACTGTTTTTCCCAACGTTAGGACTCAGGTAAGAAAGATCATCTTCTCATCCACACAGGTAATCCTTGATTTATGACGGTAATGGAGCTTGCCAAACAGGTCACCCACATGACTGGCCTGATTTTGTTATCTTTTTTGTGGTGGTCGTAAGATGAATGTCATGATTGTAAAGAGAATCCATTGCTTGCTGTAGACCGGTTTTGCCGAAAACTGGAAGTAAATGCCAGTTATCAGCAAAGCTGTTGTAAAATGGGGTCATATGACTATTGGATGATGCAAAAAGTTGCAAATGGGAGCCAGTTGCCAAGATCCCTATAAGTAATTGCTTGGCTGCAGGGGTTGTGATAGTGGCAGCCACCCTGTAGCTTTTCCGGGATCCATCATAACTTTGAAGGTTTGCTGAGTGACTGGTCATAAGTTAAGGAATGACCTGTACTTAACAAACAGGAAGTCAGAAATAGCTGGCTATTATCAGCAGCCCCTTTCAAAATGAAGTCCTGGTTATAATGGGTACAGGTAAGTAGATGGACATGCAACCCCATAACACAAAGCCCTATCCTTTTGGTACATGTAATAATAATAATAAAGTTGGAAGGGACCCTGGAGGTCATCTAGTCCAACCCCCTGCTCAGGCAGGAAACCCTATACCAGTGGTGGTGAACCTATGGCACGTGTGCCAGAGGCGGCACTCAGAGCCCTCTCTGTGGGCACATGTGCCGTTGCCCCAATCTTGCACAACCCTCTCCTCACCAGCAGCCCCCCTGGAGGAGAGTCGCCCCTGAGCGTGGACCACATGGAGCAGCGCAGCCAAGGACATGGCAGCCAGGCAGCGTAGACAACACTCTGCCATTCATGGCCCATCATACACAGTTGATGCTGCGGGGCATGGGCAGAGGTCATAGCCGCCATGCAGTGGGCCCTGGAGGTGGTGAGTGGCCCTGTAGCCAGATGGGGTGGGGGATGGGTGGGGGCAGAGCAGGGGTGGAGCGGGGGCAGGAGCGAGCCAGTTTTGGGGCACTTGGTCTGTAAAAGGTTCGCCATCACTGCCTATACCAGGGCTTTTAAAACAGTGGTACGGGTACCACCTGTGGTACATTGGCACTTGGCAGGTGGTACGTGACCATCCTAGAAAACTGGTAGCGGGGGAGGGGAATGAGCTGAACCGGTGGCAGCACCACACAAGCCTGAGCAAGAGATGAGTGGAGATGCAGGGCTGTCAGGGCTCAGCGGAAGCACCAGGATCAGTGCCGCTTTCCAGCTGATCGGCACTTTTTTGGGGCTGTCAGGGCTCAGTGGAAGTGCCAGGATCAGCGCCAGGCTCCAGCTGGAGCTCAGCACTGATCCTGGCGCTTCTGCTGAGCCCAGAAGAAGCGCCGATCAGCTGGAATGTTGCAGCATCTCCAGGGTCTTGTGATTTACATTCAGATGCTTGGCAACTGATTCATATTTATGACGGTCAGTGTCCCAGGGTCATGTGAAGTGACCAAAACCTCCTGCAACCACCCAGGAGACGGGGGACATAAAAACCAAACACCCCCCCACCCCACCCCTGCTGCCAATTCTCAACAGAAATGCTTACAACAATGAAAACCTTGGACAGGAGGAAGAGCGCCGCCAGGTGGGCAGGCAGGTGTCTTGCTCGGCTGTGGCTTGGGGGGCACTTTTTTCAGTGCCATTGTAACTTCGAACAGTCACTAAGTGAACTGTTGTAAGTCGAGGACTACCTGTACTTTATCATTTTTTTCCTTTTTTTATTTTTTTTGGTCATCAAGTTTTTGACACTTTGCTAGGCGACTGGTGGTACTCAGATGTTGCCATATCCTAAAAGTGGTACAATGGGTGAAAAGGTTGAAAAGCCCTGCCCTGTACTATTTTGGACAAATGGCTGTCCATTTTGTGCATGCACAAAAGAGCGACACCATACCAGCCATCTTGTAAATACTGACTTTCGTGGATGCTTCTGAGTGGAAGAATAAGCAGGCTCATAAACCAACAAATGCAATTCATGCCTGGATTCAATTCATACCTTACATGGAGTCACTGTTTGCTTAATTCTGGTTTGTTCGATAAGCCACAAGGACTGAGTTTGAATCGCGCACCGAGTCAAAATCTAAAGAACTGCATTATGGCCAAATGTCATGAACAAACCCCCAGACAGTGATCCCTAGTATCATAATATAAAGTCATTTTCTTCTAATCAAGGCCTGTGACCTCAGCAAAGGAAAATTATTCTAATAAAGGAGAATCTTTGTAGCTCAGGATTGAAATGAGGAGTCCTGGCTAAGCTGGCTTAGGAATTCTGGGAGTTGAAGTCCACGAGTCATAAAAGAGCCAAGGTTGACTACCCCTGAACTAGATGATCTACCTGGTAGTAATGAAACTTGTTAGTAAGCACAGGTGACGTTACCTGGTTTGGGTAACCAAGTTCAGAGAGCACCAAGAAAAATATTGTTTGCACACCATCTTCTCTAGCTAAGCTTTTTATAAAGATGATTTATGTCCCCCTTCCCAAACTACCTTTAACAAACGAAAACAAAAATGGCACCAGCATCACATAGCTTTGAGCTCCTCTGTTTTCTTTCTTGCTGCTCAGAAAGAGAAATTTGGGGTTCCTCAAGGCAGTCTATCAACTTCTCCAAACTCTACAAGTTTCAAGGGGGAGTTTCCTTGAAGGAGCTAGCAAAGGCTATGAGAATCCCCCTTTGTGACATCAGTGTGGCCTGAGTGAAGGAGAAAGGCCACTGCAAAGAGTGGAAGTAGTTGATTCTCGGGGTTCACCCCTAACCACACAATTCTCAGTTCTCTGATTCGGTTAACCAAAGTCCCCAGATTTGAATTTCAATTTCATTCTCAGCAATAGCCATGCTAGCCGTGGAATTCTGGGAGTTGAACTCCCTGGAAACTGCCAAGGTTGGAAAATACAGGTAGTCTGCCATTTACAACCATTCAAAGTGACAACAGCACTGGAAAAAAGTGACTTATGACTGTTTTTCACATGACTGTGACAACATCCACGTGATCAAAATTTGGCAACTGACATGTATTTATGATGGTTGCAGTGTCCCAGGATCATGTGATCACCTTTTGTGACCTTCTGACAAGCAAAATCAATGGAAAAGCCGGATCAACTTAACAATCGTGTTACTAGCTTAACAACTACAGTGGTTCACCTAATAAATGTGGCAAGCAAGGTGGTAAAATGAGGCAAAGCTCACTTAATAACAGTCTTGCTCAACAACAGAAACGTTGGGCTCATTTGTGATTGTATGTCAGTCTGCACTGAGGCTCCCTTTTAATCAGCTGATCTTAAATTTTCCTGTCTCAAGTTTCTGATTAATAACAACAACAACAACAACAATAATAATAAAGTTGGAAGGGACCTTGGAGGTCATCTAGTCCAACCCACTGTTCATGCAGGAAACTCTATACCATTTCAGACAAATGGCTTTCCAGTCTCTTCTTAAAAACTTCCAGTGTTGGAGCATTCACCACTTCTGGAGGCAGGTTGTTCCACTGGTTAATTGTTCTACTGTCAGGAAGTTTCTCCTTAGTTTTAGGTTGCTTCTCTCCTTGATTAGTTTCCATCCGTTGCTTCTTGTCCTGCCTTCAGGTGCTTTGGAGAATAGCTTGACTCCCTCTTCTTTTTGGCAGCCCCTGAGATATTGGAACACGGCTATCATGTCCCCCCACCTCGTCTTTCTCTTCATTAAACTAGACATACCCAATTTCAGCAGCCGTTCCTTATACGTTTTAGCTTCCAGATCTCTGATCATCTTTGTTGCTCTTCTCTGTACTCTTTCTAGAGTCTCAACATCGTGGTGACCAAAACTGGATGCAGTATTCCAAGTGTGGCCTTGCCAAGGCATTGTAAAGTGGTATTAACACTTCACGTGATCTTGATTCTATCCCTCTGTTAATGCAGCCTAGCAGTTTGTTGGCCTTTTTGGCATCTGCAGCACACTGCTGGCTCATATCTAAGTGATTGTCCACTAGGACTCCGAGATCCCTCTCACAGTTGCTACTATTGAGCAAGGTACCCCCTATACTATACCTGTGCATTTGGTTTTTCTTGCCTAAATGTAGAACCTTAGTTTTTTCACCATTGAATTTCATTTTGTTAGATAGCACCCAGTGTTCAAGTCTGTCCAGATCCTCCTGTATCTTAAGCCTGTCTTCTGGAGTGTTGGCTATTCCTGCCAGGCTATTTCCCTGCTACAACTTGAGTTGCCTTGTATTCAGTCATAACAACACTATAAATGTGTTAAGGATGAAGCAGTCTTTTGTTTCCTCTCAAGAGCTGTCTTGTATTGCGTGATTTATTTAATTGTAATTTGTTAAACATCAATTCATACTAATTGAAGCCGTGGCTTATAGACTACAATGGCTCTTTTTCTATCACACCTTACATCAGGGATCTCCAAATTTTAAGACTTGTGGACTTTAACTCCCAGAATTCCCCCGCCAGCATTGAAACCAGTAGGGCTGGCTGGGGAATTCTGGGAGTTGAAGTCCACAAGTTGCCAAGTTTGGAGATCCCTGCCCTAGGTGATAAAGAAGCAAACCAAAGCTTAATTTTGAGCTCTCTTTGAACCCCTCTGCTAAATTGTAGCTGTTCTTGGCTTCTCTCAAGTACTGTGAACTTAACTGGATCCAAAGACAAATGTATTGGATCCTAAATCATCCTTCAGCTGAGATACGAGAGTAAAAAACAGCCAGGCAGGTACAATTTACTGTATATTAGAATCAGAGAGACTAAAACAGAAAAATTAAATAATATCATGAAGGCAAATTAGAAAACCAATATCTATATAATAAAGTAACAATGGGTGTTTGTAAAACTGGACTTAATTTAGGACCATGACTTTGGAGGCTATACAATTCACTAATGGGATCTAATGTATATTAGATAACAAGCTAGCTCATTTTATAGAACTAAAAGTTTATATATCTACCCCAAAATGACTCAAATGCAATTAAGAAAAAAAATAGTTTCTTGCCTTCACCCATTTCTGTTGGAGCAATATTCCAAAATATCCCTTTTGCAATGTTACAAATGTATACAGACATCTCAATCGTTCCAAATCTTTCAAGCATCTATTACTGTGGCAATCCTTAAAACATCATTCCATCATGGAACTGGTAGACAACAGAATTGTATCCTTTTTATAAAACAGATACATCTACAGGAGTTGGATCCCTTAAAACTTCTCATGACAGAGAAGATATTTCCACCAAGGGCTTTCTGATTTCTTGTTTTAATTCTTAGCCCTGGCACCATCTAATCACCCCTAAAACCTTTCTGTAACTATAAATTTTTGACAAAAATAAAAAAGTCACTTCTCAAGAACCTCCCAGCCGATGCAAATTCTTCCTGACATTCCTGACTTTAATCTCATTCTAAATCTCCTATTTGCTTATTTTTGCTCTCCTCACCTCAGGCCTTCCTGTTCTTCAAACGAAGGCGATGTTGTTCCTTCTGATGTTCCCAAAGAAATTAAGTGACTAAATGAAATCGGAGCCGTTCAACTATTCTGGGGAGGGAGGGAGCCGAGAGCAAGAAGGTTCATGACAGTTAATAAAATCTAAATGGGTCCAGCTTCGTTTGGACAAGACAGGAAGACATTAAATAACTGGAGGGATGTCAACACGAAGAGGGCAAAGGGCTATTTGGAGTGACAGGAACAAGTGAAATAAAAACCACCCAGGGATGCAAAAGGAGTGATATTTTAAAGAGAACAAGCTTAGGTCCCAGGTTTTGAAAGCCTCATAAATTAACTTCTCTGCTTCTAAAATTATAAACTTGGTTATCAGTGTTAAGCAACATAGAATTCCTCAGAGTAGGAATAATCCCTTCAAATAGGAATACATCACAGACTTCTGCCAATCAATACTATGTTCCTTCAGGCTTTCTATTAAACTAGGATCTAGTCCTTATAGCTTCTCTCTGGTCAACAGATGACTCCGAACCCTGACAGAGAATTGGCAGGTGAAGGTTGATTGAAATTGTCTGAAATCTGCAAAGTTACTGTTTTTACTTCTTTACACAGAATTCTCCAAGGTCATCAGATGGAAAGTCAAACCCAGTTTGCATTCTTTGTACTTTCTGTTGGAGAATGCCTTGTGGTATAAATTCTGGGATGTCTATTTTTAATGTTTGCTTTGTCGCACAGTCAGATAGATGTTCAGACTGGATTGGAAATATCACCCTTTTATGGTATTTATTAACATGAATTTTCACATTTTGTATCTGTAGTTTTTTTACATTGCTGTTTTATCCCATTGTTGTGACCGACTCTGAGTTGCTAATGGTGAGATGGGTGGCTACATAAATTTGATAAAGGTTATCAAAGGTAAATTTGATCTAAAGGTTAGGGAACATCTAGAGAGCCTGTTTGGTATAATAACTAAGATATCAGGCTAAAAACTGGGAGACTTGTACAGTATTTTTTCGGCACAAAGCCAGCTATGTGAACCTGGGCCAGTCACTTTCTTTCAGCCCTTGGAAGGAGGCAATGGCAAACCACTTTTGAAAAACCTTGCCAAGAAAATTGTAGCTTCTAAGATATGAAATGAGCACCTAATTCACTATATTGCTTTGTAACTTGATCTGGTCTCTCACATACTAATCTTTTATGCTCTCCTACAGCCATCTAATATTCCTACCCTTTCTTTCTGATTCTTGTTTTTTATATATACTTTTAGTTTTTAATTCACCTTTTTCATATTTTTTTAGATTTTTATTTTTATTCTTGATGTATCCTTTATGAATTTTAATGGTTGTACCCAACTTTCCTTCTGCTGATCTTTGATTGTAATAAAGATTTGATCTGATTTGGTTCTTTTCCAATTCGCTTTTGTCATACATATAATTTGTTGTTCTGTTAATTGAGGATATCTGATTAGAAGGAGGAGGACTAAAAATATTCATGTATCAAAAGCAAGAAGAAACTCAAAAACTCCTGAAAAAGAAAGAAATTGAATTCAACTGAGGCGATGTATACTTTTTCTGCTCTTGGGGGTATTTCAAAACATTCCAAACTAAATTAACCAGAAGAAGTCCATTTCAGAAGTAGTCACAGAATGTTAGTCTTACAAGACAGGCTAGACATAAAACATAGCCAATGAGCTAATTCTATTTTATTGTAAGGTTACATTAATAGAATCTTGTAAGTCTGAAAGTACATTCAGAATAGAAGAATGCAAATCTACTGTTATTAGAATCTTGCAAGTCTGGAAGTACATTCGTCTCCTTGCCCCCATCTCCTTTACAGCCCAAGAATCTAGAACAGTGGTTCTCAATCTGTGGGTCGGGACCCCATTTGGGGTTGAACGACCATTTCACGGGGGTCGCCAAACAACGCAGTCCGCCATTCCCCCCCCCTTTTCCTTAGCTGTGCTCCTCCCTTTTATTCTATTGGCTTTTGAAAGCCAATAGAATAGACTTTCTTGAATAGAGTCTAATTCTATTGGCTTTCAAAAGCCAATAGGAATTGTCCAGGCTGCCTCTGCCCTGCTGAGCCCACCAAAAGTCCCATTCTGCAAATGGTCCTCGACTTACGACCGGTTGAGTAGTCCTCGACTTACGACCGGTTGGGGATTGCGGCATTAAAAAGGTTGAGAACCACTGATCTAGAAGCTGCCTGCCTTGCAGACATTCCTACTGCAGGCTAAGTTGCTTTTTATCTGATGTTTCCTGAGTTGTGTCTTTTCTCCCTGTATTATTCCACATAGTATTGCATCAAATAATATCCAGGCTTACTGATTAAAGGGATGAAAGGATTGTGTAATGGCTCCAGACTTCTGTGGTTACCCAAGTTGGCAGCACTTTCCCTGACCCAGTTCATTTGTGGCCCAGCTATCATATTTTAGAAACTATAGCCAAGCTAGGAATTCTTTTTGCATCATTTTGAAATCCTGGGTTTGTACGTTCTTACTTTTCCAAGACTAGGAATTTTTGCCTCTGTCCTGGCTTAGGAACTCAAGCAAAACTGTACTCCCTCCTTCACCCCCATTTTTTAATTTGCTCAGCCTTCCCAGCCAAAAACATACTGGTGGTTTTGATGCCAGCTGATCCTTATCCAAGAGAAGGAGGGAACAGACAGACATCTCAACTTTGTTCCTGCTGTTTTTGCCAGAGCAATTTTGTGTCTAGGAAAAGTTATGAGGGTCCAGAGAGAGTCAAAACAGGCTGGGTCAACCTTGTCTGAATTTTAAAATTAGCTAAATCCAATTTTAAAATCTAGCTCTGATTTATCTTAATGCAGAACATTGGATTTTTCTTGTGAGCATGGGGGCATACACAGATATTGGTGCACCATAGCATAGGTACAGCCTCAGAAATATGATTTGCAGTTTTTTAAAATTTTTATTAGAACAACCAACTGAAAAGTATTAAAATATACTCAAACAAGAACACAGGAAGTCTGCAAACAATGAAATAGTAATACAGTAGACAAATGAAAAGTACTACCAGTATGCAAATTTAAGAACAAAGAATACCACGAACCGAGACAAAATTGGTGGAAGCAAGCTTAAGAATATTACTTTCATATACTGTATATACCATATTTTCTGGCGTAAAAGACGACTTTCTAAACCATGCAAATCATCTCCAAAGTCGGGGGTTGTCTTACACGCCGGAAAATACGGTAAGTAGGAAAAATCCTAGAGAGATATTTTATCTTATATGTCCAAAGAAATATTTTAAAATTGTCAGGGATGTCTGGTTTCTATGTGCATCATCCACAAAAGCATATGTGATCAAAGTCCTCTTTTAATGTGTGCAAAACATATAAATGGGTTGGAGCTTAGATGACTGTGGCCATCCTGTTTATTTTTTTAACCTTCTTCTCTGCAGACATCCTTGGGATGGATCGAACAGGTTATAACATCACATTTCGAATATAATTTCTAAAGCTGGAGAGAAATTGGGAAGGACTAATATGTAAAGTACACATTCATACTGAACGTGGGAGAAGGCAGCTGAATAACCATTTTCTCCAGGATTTCTGTCTCCCCACTGGATAAAGAAAAGCAAGGCAGTTCTACATCAAAGAAATGGCCTGATTAAATTAGCCTAAGGCATAAGAACATACGAATGAACCATCTCATGAAATATTAACGGTACAATACATTGGTCTAAAACAGGGGTTCTCAACCTTGGCAACTTTAAGACTTGTGGACTTCAACTCCCAGAATTCCTCAGCAAAGCTGGCTGAGGAATTCTGGGAGTTGAAGTCCACAAGTCTTAAAGTTGCCAAGGTTGAGAACCCCTGGTCTAAAAAAATCAAGTCTGTATCATCTCTAGTGTTCTGTGACCTAAAATGCAGAAAACATACTGGTTGTTCGCTCAGGTCTCTGGGAAATCAGTCACGGCCATCCAGATGTAAAGCTTCTAAACTGAAGCTGGGCCTCCATGCCTTTAACAAGGGAAGGCCAATAAAGCATCTGACTAAGAGGAACCAAGGAGAATGCATGGCAGGAGATGGCCAGTTTGCTTTGGACTTCACCAAGGTTCATTAAAAAATTCCCAGGGGTCTCCATAAAGAGGCACCTCACTATATCTTCCCCACACAAGATCATCAACCAGCTCTTCAAAATCTATTGCTGGCAGCCTGAGCAGCCCTCCCTTGATCCAAAACCAAGGGTAGATATTTTCACCAGAAAAGTTTGCTGGCGGGAAGGTAAAGATCCAATTGTTGGTCCCAGCATTGTAAAATGACACCTGCCCGGCAGTGTAATCTAGATTTACCTGGATCTTTTGGAGAGGCTCAGACAGACCCAAAGGAACAACTCCAGAATTGGTATAGGCCACATATTTTTTTTGCTCATCTAAACCAAGTCCCCAAATGCCGTTTTCGGGAGCAAAGTGTACCGGGTGCTTTCTCTCCACCGACTCTTTGGCAACCCCCACAGCCCAGATCTTCCCTTCTTCCACATTTATTTCCCAGTAGACTCTCCCTGCAGTGAACCCTTCACTTCCAAGCACACAGGAATCTTTTTCAAATCTCATCCAGTGGTAAGGTATTTTTTCCTTCAATTCTGCATTCCACTTGACAGTTATCTGGTCATCTGAAAGTTCCAGCATGTGATTCAGTGTGTCCCGATCGAAGAACACATTTCCTGGAAGAGAAAAGGATCGTGTTAGGCTGCAAGGCTCAAAGTGACTTTCCAATAATAATAATAATAATAATAATAATAATAATAATAATAATAATAATAATATCTTAGTAGAATTGAACTCAGAAGCAGAGTTAGTCAAAGAATGTATGATTAAATGGGCACAAAACTTTGGTGAACCGGTACTATTAGATACCTGGGAAATTATTTGGGTGAGGAACGTTAAATTTACGCAAGCCCAAAATTTAAGGGAGAACTTTTATAAAATGTTTTATAGATGGCATCTTGATCCACAAAAAATGTCTCGTATGTATCCTGATCTACAGCCTAAATGTTGGAGATGTGGAAGTTTGGATGCTACATATTATCATATTTGGTGACGTGTAAAAATATAAAAGCTTTTTGGATTAAGATATGGTGGAATATTCAAAGAATTTTTAGAAGGAGGGTAAAATTTACCCCACAATTGTTTTTATTAGGTATTGTTACAGATTGTGATACTAAAGATATCACATTGATGTTAAATTTAATCACAGCTGCAAGGTTGTTAGTAGCACAATGTTGGAAGAAGGAATCTCTGCCTACCTTGCAAGAGTGGCTTTTTAAAGTTTCTTATCTGGCGGAAATGGCAAAGATTTCGGCTTTCCTGAAGGATCAATCTCAAGAGAAGTATGTTGTGGTATGGAGGAAATGGATAGATTTTATACAACACAAGATGGATATTAAAAAATATTACTTAGCTTTTTAATAATTTATATTGAAAAGCCAATTTTCTTGAAAAGCCAAACTTTTTTTCCCTTTTATTTTTTTTCTTTTTATTATTATTATTTTCTTCTTTCCTCTTTTCTATTTTTCTTTTTTATATATATATATTACCTTTAATTATTTTATAACTTGTTTAAGTAATGTATTTAGATTTGTTTATAATTTTATAACTTATATTGAAAAGTTAATTTTCTTTTCATATTTTTTATGTATTTCTTTTTTTCTTCTTCTTTTCTGGTATTTATGTTTTTCTTTTTTTTACATATATATTGTTGTTAATTATTTAGTAATTTGTTTAAGTAATGTATCTAGATTTATTTATATTTTATACTTTTCTTAAGATTTTTTGAAGAAATTCTAATTAAGCCTATATCCAGCTCTGGGATAGTTGGGGGAGGGAAGGGGAGGGTTGGGGAGGGATGGGGAAAACTGTTTTGTTTTGTATTGTAAAACCTTATAAATTTTCAATAATAATAATAATAATAATAATAATAATAATAATAATAATAATAATAATAATAATAATAATAATAATAAAGTTGGAAGGGACCTTGGAGGTCATCTAGTCCAACCCCCTGCTCAGGCAGGAAACCCTATACCATTTCGGACAAATGGCTGTCCAGTCTCTTCTTAAAAACTTCCAGTGTTGGAGCATTCACTGCTTCTGGAGGCAGGTTGTTCCACTGGTTAATTGTTCTAACTGTCAGGAAGTTTCTCCTTAGTTCTAGGTTGCTTCTCTCCTGGATTAGTTTCCATCTGTTGTTTCTTGCCCTGCCTTCAGGCACTTTAGAAAATAGCTTGACTCCCTCTAATGTTCTATGCCAGCCTTCAGATAGATTATGGCAGTATCATTCAGAATTGCCAACTGGCAGATTGCTGGCAATTTTGGATGACAACAGATCAGCTAAAGGCTGGAGTAGATTTCTGCATCACAGCACTGCATGGAACATATGTGCCTATCATTCGGAGACGGTTGCATAGCTGTTCCTTTTATACATCAGCAAATTTTAATGTTCTGGCTAGGTCAAGGGTAGGCAACCTTGGCTCTTTTATGACTTGTGGGCTTCAACTCCCAGAATTCCTGAGCCAGCCATGCTGAGGGGAAAGGGAGAGGTTTCCAAGCTGAGCCATGCTGGCTCAGGAATTCTGGGAGTTGAAGTCCATGAGTCATAAAAGAGCCAAGGTTGCCTACCCCTGGGCTAGGGAGAAATTCCATAGAACAGGAAGTTGGACCAACCAATCAGCCCACAGGATGCGCACCTCCGCATAATGCACAGTCAGGATTTGGAAAGTGTGTATCAGCCCGCTTGTAGCCATCTGCAATCTCTGATTTACCCACCACCCTCTTCGCAGGGGAGTAAAATGACATAAAGTCCATTAGTGATATTGATTTAATAAATTTTGAAGGGGAAAAAAATTGGGAAGCACTGATTTATGGGAATCATTCAAGGTGAAGCAAGCAAAAGTGTCCCAAAATTTTAAAAGAGCAAAATGGCTGTCTGCTGGCAAAATGCAAACAGCTGCAGACTATTTATCCCATTTATGTGTTGTCTTTCCGCTAAATCATGGTTAATGTGGCTTAGCAATGAATCAGTGGAATGAAAAGTTTTTACAATGTATATCTATTAAATAACACATCAGAAAATAAACAACAGACGACTTATTCACAATTCATAAAACATACACCATTTGGCTGGTTTTGCACCACAAACTAAGCCACAATGATTGTGCACAAATCTCAGTGGCTAACTTCACACAGGAAAGGAAACCTTAAATCAATACATTCTTCCTGACTTCCATGATGTGGATCCCTCCCCCAGTTTGGCTTAGCAAATTTACCTTTCTCATAAGGCTTCAGGCAGTTGTCCATGGTTTTCATTAATTCGGTTTGCATCTTACCTAGAAAGCAGGTAAGCATTCAGTCAGAATTCTGCCACTCACCTTCCCAGGCATGCCTAACAAACCAATCCCGTTATAGTTTTCCCTTTTTACGGGAACAATGGCATTATTTAACTCATCAGATATTCATTTATTCATCTTTCAATTCATATGGCCATCTATCTCAACAAGTGACTCTGGGCAGCAAACAGAATTGAAATAAAATAAAAACAATTGCAAGCATTACAAAAGTGAAAATACAAAGTTGCTGAGAAACATCATAAGCAAAATCATTAGGGGCAACCAAGAATCAGGATCCTGCACAGCAGCGGTCTGCAACCTTGACAACTTTAAGACTTGTGGACTTCAGCTCCCAGAATTCCTCAGCCAGCTATGCTGGCTGAGGAATTCTGGGAGCTGAAGTCCACAAGTCTTAAAGTTGTCAAGGTTGCAGACCGCTGCTGTACACCCTTGAAGCCCCAGGCCTGGGCTCAGAACTAGGTCTTAGGGCAGGGTGGACAATTTATAACCAGCAGACTGGCTCAGGAATTCTGGGAGTTGAGGTCCAGAGGTCGTAAAGGGGGCAGAGTTGTCTACCCCTGTCTTAGAGCCTTAGAAAAGGCCAGTAGAGCTGGGGACATCCTGATCTCTGGAGGGAGAACAAGGTGGGCCTAAAAGGCCTTGCCAACTGACACCCTTCAGGTCCCACACCAATGGGACCTGAAGCATGCCCAGGATCAGATGGGTAGAAGCAACTCAGGAGAGTCAGTCCCTCAAGTAACCCACTCCCAAGCCATGAAGAACTTTAAGATGACAACAGCACCTTGAATCTTATCCAGAAGCACATTGGCAACCAATGTAGGTCAGTAGTGGTGTTATCTGAGCTGAATAATTGGTGCCTTTTATATCCATGCTGCTGCATTCTGCACCAACTGAACCCTCTGAATGCTCTTCAAGGCCAGCCCCATGTAGAGCCCATTGCTGTAATCCAAACTTTACAGCCTTCACAAACACATCAAATTAATTCCGAAGCTATTCCATAAACCAACCACACTCATATCTACACCATCTATGTCAGCACAAGCAACCAGATCCACATGTGTTGAATTCAAGCTAATTTTTACCTTATTCTATCTATCATACAGAAATCTCCCCAGAATGCTGGCTTTCTCTTGGGAACGGATAGATAAGGCTTCATGGTGGGAGTCAGTTTTGGACCTCTTGCAGCTGTGCAAAGATTCAAGGTTAGTTCCCCACTTGACCCCTCCATTCTGACTGGGTATTTCCTAACAATCTATGCCAGTGGTTCTCAACCTGTGGGTCGGGACCCCATTAGGGGTCAAACGACCATTTCACGGGGATCGCCAAACAATGCAGTCCGCCATTTTTTTCCCCTTTTCCTTAGCTGTGCTACTCCCTTTTATTCTATTGGCTTTTGAAAGCCAATAGAATAGACTCTCTTGAATAGAGTCTAATTCTATTGGCTTTCAAAAGCCAATAGGAATTGTCCAGGCTGTCTCTGCCCTGCTGAGCCCACCAAAAGTCCCATTCTGCAAACGGTGCTGCACCAGTTGAGTAGTCCTTGACTTACGACCGGTTGAGTAGTCCTCGACTTACGACCGGTTGGGGGTCGCGGCATTAAAAAGGTTGAGAACCACTGATCTATGCCTTTAACACTTGTCAACATCCTCAAAGTATTGATAGCATCCATTTCATTCACATTTTCCTTGGATGCTACTTTGACAGCATTCATTTCAATTCCACTTTTCAAAGTAGCTCTTTAATTCCCATACAAATCTCTGAATTCCTTCTTTCAGCTTTCCCTCCTTTGATTTCCCCCTGGAATTATGTCCTATTCTCACTCTGGTGTCTTTCACTTCCTTTTTTTTTTTTTTTTCAAGCTCTGCTTTTGGCATTCCCATACTACGGACTGTCTCCCATTCAGAAATTCTTTTTGATCTAGTAGATCTAAATTGGTCTTTTGTGATAAGGAAAGAAATTAATTGTACTTTTGGATTTACTGCTTTTCCTGTGAATGTATAAACCCATGTAAACCATGTATTTGAAAGAATAAGTTTTTTTTTTCCATGCATACGATTTTCACCCATCATTCACAAGAAAGTATGTGGAAGATTGTGAGAGAAGTAAAGGAGAGACAGATTTTCTGGAAGAGAAAGCTATTGATGACAATGTGCGCAAGAACATGACAAAACCTGGAACCCTCATGGGAAGAAACCCAAAGCCTGTTTCTACCACCTCTCATTTTCCTCCTTCTTTACATCCTGATACCTTTCAATGCCCTCAGTGTCTCCTTCAGAACTTTATTTTGTTCACTGATTTTTTCCAATCTCTGTTCCAGGTCACCAAGATTGTTTTCCACATACTTTTCTTCACCCAAGCTGAAGGGAAAAAAAAAGAAAAAAAAATCTAAGTTATATAGGTACATGAAAACAAAATGACATAGTTACATCTGTGAAAACACAAGCAAACTAGTGTGTTACATGAGGCAGCAAAAGATATAATGCAAGTACAGTCTTATGCAATTTCATGTAGGAAGAGGGTAGAGTGAGATGGGTGGTACCTCAATTAGATGATGATGGAGATAGACAGCTATAGATGGATAGATGATCGATAGATTTGATAGATCGATCAAATCTAGATCGATAGATATAGATGGGTGGATAGATAGATAGATAGATAGATAGATAGATAGATAGATAGATAGATGATAAGGTTAAGTTAGATAGATAGATAGATAGATAGATAGATAGATAGATAGATAGATAGATAGATAGATGATAAGGTTAGGTTAGATAGATAGATAGATAGATAGATAGATAGATAGATAGATAGATAGATAGATAGATAGATAGATAGATAGACAGACAGACTTACAGACAGATAAGGTTAGGTTAGGTTAGGTTAGGTTAGGTTAGATAGATAGATAGATAGATAGATAGATAGATAGATAGATAGATAGATAATATAGACAGACAGACAGACAGATAGATGATAAGGTTAGGTTAGGTTAGGTAGGTAGGTAGGTAGGTAGGTAGATAGATAGACAGACAGACAGACAGACAGACAGATGATAAGGTTAGGTTAGGTAGATAGATAGATAGATAGATAGATAGATAGATAGATAGATAGATAGATAGATAGATAGATAGACAGACAGACAGATCTATGTGTCTGTAGTCTTTTTCAAAGAAAGATTTCTAACAATCTTGTTACAGAGGAGCCAAGAGGAGCCTAGGGAACCACAGCAACATTTTCAGAAGTTCAGACGCAGGAGCTTCTCCAGGAAAGTGTATCTAAAACCTCATCCCCAGGCAGAAGCAAAATGTGGAAGGAAGAGATACGTACCAGTTCGAAATAATTTTAAATTCCTAGAAGGAAGAAGAGAAAATTCTCATTTGGTAAGGGTTAGGGTTAGCATTAGCATTAAAGTAATTATTAGAATTAATGCAGAAGTTTACATTATTCATTAAAACATGCAGTATTTGTGAACTTAGTAAAGTTTTAGCTATAATTCAGTTACAGCACCTTTGAGATTCCCTTTTGACTTCATTATTTATATACAACGGTTTCAAACTTTCAACTAAACTCTCAGTCTGAACAAATCATGCTATAGAGGAATAAGCATGTCATTATACACACACATACACACACACACACACACACACACAAACACACACAGCATGTTTCCCTGAAAATAAGAGCCGGCCTTTTTTTTTCCCTCCAAAAGAGGCAGTAGGTCTTATTTTCAGGGGATGTCTTTTTTTCCTAACACCTACCCCACCAACAGAGAATGAGGTGGCTGGATGGAGTCACTGAAGCAGTAGGCATGAACTTAAATGGACTCCAGAAGAAGGTAGAGGATAGGAAGGCCTGGAGGAACATTATCCATGGGGTCGCAATGGGTCGGACACGACTTTGCAACTAACAACAACCTCACTTCACAGCAGCGGCACCGATAGCCCCATCCTGAAGGAGGCTGACATGGCTGCCAGCCCACTTCTACAGCCACTCGTGGCAGGAGGCCACATGGCCTGCTGCGCCATGCCGCCACCATGAGGAGAGGCAGGTGGGAGAGGGGGTGGAGCTGTCCCAAGTGCCCTATAGGCACCCAAACACTTTTCGCCAGAACGGAGATCTGACAGAGACTGGAAGCTCTGTCTGCTTGCAAATGTGGCACTAATCGCTCCGTCTCCAAACACCCCATTTGCAAGGAGATGAAGCTTCCAGTCTCTGTCAGATCTCCGTTTGGGGGGAAAGTGTTTGGGTGCCTATGGGGCGCTTGGGAACCGAGCAAATCGGTTTGTTCCCAAGTGCCCCATAGGCATCCAAACACTTCCCCCCTCTGAGTGCAAACTTAGCTGCTCTGTGCCAAGGGGCGGGCGGGCTACAGCTGCTGCTGAACCCCATCGGCCCCCCGTGTGCTCACCATGCCCACCCCCTGGGCTTATTTTTTGGGTTCGGCTTATATTAGGCCCACCTCAAAAGATCAGGCTAGGGCTTATTTTCGGGGTGGGTCTTATTTTGGGGAAAACACAGTACACACACACACACACACACACACACACACACACACACAAAATCAAGAGCATTTCTATGAAAGTTCTCACCTTCAGGCATTCCTCAGGGAGCTCCTTACACAGTTTTTCTAGGTTACTGACCAAGCTGTTGATCTGAGTCATTTGCTTCAGGAATTCAATCTCTGACAGATCACACTTCTTCTCTATGTTTCCGATCAAGAAGTTCAGTTGGGTTGTGTTTGTGGTGTGTCTGGTGTGATTTTTTTTCTGGTAGTCTAAGATGTTGATTTTCAGTTCTTCCAGATGGGAAAGTAGAAACTGCATTTGATCCTTTGCAGCCTGATGGAACTGTTCGAATTCATGCACCAACTTGCGACGTTCTTCTCCTGGCCTTTTCTGCAGATATATGATTGTTGGGTTTGTATGCTGCTGAATCATCTAATTTCACAGCTACTCATGGGTAAGATTAAATACAATAAATAATAAGCAAAAAATATCAATGGTCATGTAATATGTCCACGGTAAGAAAATTAGCCGCAACTGCAAATAATCCATAATACAATATAGATAGTCCTTGAATTACAATGGCGATTGGGAACAGGATTATGATCGCTAAGCATTGTGGTCATACAGTGCAGTGTCACATAACCCCTTTGCTTAGGATAGCAATCCAGGTAGTCCCGGTTGTCATTGTAACCCTAAGACACACGGGGCATTAAGCAGGAAGCAGGTGTCCCAACTAAGTACCATGTGAGTGTGCAGGAGACCTTGGGAAGGGTCCAGGACTGGGGTAGGCAACCTTGGCTCTTTTATGATTCATGGACTTCAACTCCCAGAATTCCTGAGCCAGCTCAGGAATTCTGGGAGTTGAAGTCCATGAGTCATAAAAGAGCCAAGGTTGCCTACCCCTGGTCTAGGAAACTCACCACGGTCAACTTGCCATGGCCAACTAACAATGGGACAATTTGCCACAGCCAACTCATTGCAGAACAACTTGCCATAGTACAAATGTTACACAATATTGAAGAAATTGTGGAATAGAACCATTAAAGAAAGGAGGGACAAAACGAAATGTGAGTGACAAAAATGAAAATAATGTTAACATTATTTTAAATAATTAAATAAAATTGTTGAATCATCCCATGCGTGAGTTGTCCTGCAGAAAGCTGGCCACAGCGTCCTGTGGTGAGTTGGCTGTGGCAAGTTGTCCCATTCTGCTTGGCAGGCCCAGTGCAGGCACCACACAATTTGGGGATACATGCATGTGAGTAATGGGGGAACGAAGGTGTTAGTGGGTGTATATGTGTAAGCTCATGCCTACTGCTTCAGTGACTCCAGCCACCTCATTCTCTGTCAGTGAGGTAGGTGTTAGGAAAAAAAGACATCCCCTGAAAATAAGACCTACTGCCTCTTTTGGAGGGAAAAAAAGGCCGGGTCTTATTTTCAGGGAAATGTGTGTGTGTGTGTGTGTGTGTGTGTGTGTGTGTGTGTGTGTGTGTGTGTAGTGACATGCTTATTCCTCTATGGCATGACTTGTTCAGACTGAGAGCTTAGTTGAAAGTTTGAAAGATTGTCTGAAATTACAACGGCACTGAAAAAAGTGACTTATGATTGGTTTTCATATTTATGACCGTTGCAGCATCCCCATGGTCACATGACCAAAATTTGGCGGCTCAACAACTGTCATGTATTTATGACAGTTGGCCTGGGTTTGTTCATGTGATCACCATTTGTGACCTTCCCAGTTGGCTTCTGACAAGCAAAGTCAAGGGGGAGAAGCCGGATTCACTTAATTACTGCGTGATTCACTTGATAACTGCAGCGGTTCACTTAATAAGAATAAGAGTTACCTTGAGATAAGATGGGCCCGGCCTGTAAATTTCATAAATAAATTAAAAAATAACTGAGGCAAAAGGTCATAAAATGTGACACAACTCACTTAACAAGTGCCTTGTTTAGCAACGGAAATTTTGGACTCAGTTGTGGTCGTAAGTCGAGGACTACCTTTACCCAGTGAAATGGGGCCTGCCATCTTTTTGTTAGTTTAACTGTCTTCTCTAGCAAAATGGATCACTGATATAACCAGTGAGGCCAAATAAAAGCAGAGGCACCTACCCATAGATTCCGAGTGCTCATTTCAACATGCTTCTCATACATCCGAGCGACTTCTCTTCCCTTTTTCACGTGATTCTGGATTTCAGCCTAGGAAGAGGAGAAGAAAATCAGATCTGAAGTTTCTAGAAGAAATTCCAGGGATGCAAAAGAACATTGTAGCTTCTTTCAGTGTGTGTCTCCTCCTTGAGCAGCTGTAGACAAGACAATTCCCTCTTCTCACATACGGGTTGAACCTGCAAAATTAATTCTACCAGAAGGCCACCGGATTTTATTTATTTATTTATTTATTTATGAGACTTATATACTGCTTTAAGTGCAAGCACTCTCTAAGTGGTGTACAACAGTAAGCAATGTATATATATATTTACATTGCCCCCAATAATCTGGGTCCTCATTTTACCTACCTCGGAAGGATGGAAGGCTGAGTCAACCCTGAGCCGGTGAGATTTGAACCGCTGACCTGCTGAACACAGTCAGCTAAAGTGGCCTGCAGTACTGCACTCTAACTGCTGCGTCACCTCGGCTTTTGTATACAAAACTCTCTGAGTTTTGTATACAGTAGAGGGGTATTAACAGGTTCTCTCTGTTTTCATCAGACTGATACAGTGCCATTCTGCCACCTCAACCCTCCAGGACAGGGGTAGGCAATCTTGACTCTTTTATGACTCATGGATTTCAACTCCCAGAATTCCTGAGCCAGCCATGCTGAGGGGAAAGGGAGAGGTTTCCAAGCTGAGCCATGCTGGTTCAGGAATTCTGGGAGTTGAAGTCCACAAATCACAAAAGAGCCAAGGTTGCCTACCCCTGCGAGTCTGGGCCCTTCAAGTGATGTCACATTAAGCCTAAAAAAAAAAAAGGGGGGGGGGAGGCTGGCATTATAGCTGGCTTTGCCCTGTGAATGCCATTGTCTGTACACATTCCCATGAATTGGAGATGCAGAGCAGGCATAATTTATCAATAAAATTGGTTCCACTGCAACTGCTATAATTTCATGAAGGAGAGGAGTCTTTTTCATGCGTGTGATTGATTGCAGATTTTTTTTCCTATTATGGAATTCTTTATCCCGCCTTTATTGGTTTTAAAAATAACTCAAGGCAGCAAACACTCCTAACTCCTCCTACTTTCCTCACAATAACAACAAGCCTGGGAGGTGGGTTGGGCTAAGAGGGAAAGATTGGCCCAAAGTCACCCAACCAACCTTCACAGTTAAGGCAGGATTAGAACTCTCAGTCTCCTGGTGATTGGCCCAAAGTCACCCAGCTGGCTTTCAGGTGGAAGGTGGGATTAGAACTCAAGAGTTTTCTGGTTTCTAGTCTGGTGTCTTAACAAGAGAAAAAGAAAGAAAGAGGGAGGGAGGGAGGGAGGGAGGGAGAGAGAGAGAGAGAGAGAGAGAGAGAGAGAGAGAGAGAGAGAGAGAGAGAGAGAGAGAGGGAGAGACTAGTCCAGGGGTAGGCAACCTCGGCATGGCTGGCTCAGGAATTCTGGGAGTTGAAGTCCATAAGTCATAAAAGAGCCAAGGTTGCCTACCCCTGGTCTAGTCTATCAGTTCATTTGTGTGCATATACATGCTGTCAGGGAAAAAGTAGTTTTTCCCAAAGAAAAATCATCACTCTAGATAGGTTATCTTGACTTTCTACAGTATTAACAATGCTTGCTCCAAGGAAGACAGGCCCAATGATTGGGGAAAAAAGCAGAATGTGTAAATTTCTATATTCGTTTAACTGGGGTTTTTTTTCATGTAATCATGTGGGTGTGTGGGGTCTCTAACAATGCTTCAAGCTCTAAGCACATAGCGCTTGTAAGCAACTCCTGAATACCAGGAAGCGAGCTTCCTATGATCTTCTCGGCTGTCCTTACCAATTTCGGTATGGACCTTCTATCTGAGGCACTGCTGCCACCAAACCAGACAGTGATGCAAGTTTGTTAAGACACTCTCAATCATGAAAAGTGGTCAGGACCGAAGGAGCAACATGTGCTCTTCTCATCTGATGCAAGAAATGCAAACGCTGGTTTGCACGCTTCACGCTTTATTGGTTTTGGGGTCCTGCATTTGATTTCACAATTAATAAAGCGTAACAAGCTACATAACAGATTCTTCTCAAAGAACCTCTGTGCGTGTCTATGATATAATCTTATTTTTTATACTTTCAGACCCATCCTTTTTATCTGCAGAGAAGAAGCAAATACTTATAATTCTGCTGGTACGGTGGTTCCTGAAACCCTGACCTTGCAGCTGGCTGACAAGCCTAACTTTGCTCTCTGAAGTTCAGGCTGGGTTTGATTTCCTTTCTTCGTATTTCTACTAAAAATGAAACCATCCATGCAGGCTTCTTCCCCCCTCCCCCAATAAATAAATATTGTGACTTATAACCCTTCCTTATCTGCCATTATCTGTTCAGCCTTGAGTCTATTGCTATTCGCCTCTGGCATCTGTATGTGAGTTTAAAGCAGAAACAGGAGACTTACTTTTCTCTGGAAATGTGTCCAAAATAGCTTTTTGGACAGCTTCTTTCTAACTCTTGCACAGCCTGCACATCTTTTCACTTAAAGGTAGTCCTCGACTTACAACAGTTCATTTAGTGACCGTTCGAGGTTACAACATCACTGGAAAAAGTGAATCATGACCGTTTTTCACACTGAAACAACTGTTGCAGCATCCCCAGGGTCACGTGATCCAAATTAGGACGCCTGGCAACTGGCATGTATTCATGACAGTTGCAGTGTCCCTGGGGTCACATGATCCCCTTTTTGTGATCTTTTGACAGGCAAAGTCAATGGCGAAGCCCGATTCCCTTAACGACCGTGTTACTAACTTAACAACTGCAGTGATTCATTTAATAACAATGGCAAGAAAGGTCATAAGATGAAGCAAAACCTATTGAACTGTCTCACTTATCAACAGAAATGTTGGGCTCCATTGCGATCATAAGTCAAGGACTATCTGTATTCCTTTCTCTGCCTGTGAAGATACCTTTCCATATCAAACTATACCCACTTCATTGAAGCTGGGTTGATTTGAAGCCTCCATCTCACACTCCCTCCTTCTCTAGCATCTTGCAGGGTTTGAAACTGGTCTGCCCTATAAGGAGGGAGACCCAGGCGACACAGTATTGAATAACTGGAGGTTGTATAAATATTTATAGAAGAATATACCGAGAAGGTTAGATAAATAGAAGTATTAATGTAAGAGAAAATTAATCTTATTGTATATAATACAGATAGGGAAATTTGGAGAGAGGAGTTGCTCGGACATTACCCCTGAATTGTATCTGAAGAGGGATGAGAGGGAAGAAAGGAGAGGAGAGAGAAAAGAATGAAGGAGGGGAGAAGGAAGTAGGAAGGTTGGAGGAGAAGAGGAGAAGTGGAGAAAAAGGGGAGGAGAGTGGTGAAGGAAAGAGAAGAGGAGAGGAAGAAGAGGGAAGTAGGGAAGAGAAGAAAGGGAGAAAGAAGGTAGAGAAGAAGGAGTGTGGATACAGTGAAAGAGGAAATGGGCGAGTAATACCAAAAGTCATGTGTATGTATTTATTTCATTTTATTAAAAGTATCTTATATATGAATGTAAAAAGAATGTATGTTAACATCTGATAAATATCATAGTATATGTATGGGGGAGAGTTTGGAAAAATAAAAAATTATTTTAAAAAAAGAAAGAAAGAAACTGGTCTGCCCCTTCCTACCATCCATTCCCACAAGGCCCCCTTCTATCCCTTCCCGACTTTGATTTCCAGGTGTAATAAAATACTGAAGGATAAAGTTCATTAACATTTGCAGACTAACTTTTTTTTTTAAAAAAAATAAGCTTTGTCAGCATCTGAGCAATTTTGGGGGACAATAAATTCCTCTCTGTCTTTCTCAAAGGTCAGAATACTGAGTTTGCAATTGATCCTATAATGTTAAAGCATGTCAATAAACCATAATGATTAGAGTCATGCAATAAATTGAGCAACAATGTTAGGGCTTAATCTGATAGCATGTTATTTATAAAACAGTTAGATAGGATGTGCTTAATACTACTTAAGTATGTCCGTTGTGGACAGTAAACCATAGATTCTAGTTTACAGGTTGTGCAAACCTAGCTATGAACTTCATCATAGTTTACTAATCAACCCCATTTTGTGAAGCTGCATAATCACAATCTGGCTGAAGCCACAGAGCCATTTTGATGGATGAGGACTGTAAAACTAGAAGCAGCTGCAGATGTCATCCTAACTCAGGGGTAGTCAACCTTGGCTCCTAAGCTGGCTCAGGAATTCTGGGAGTTGAAGTCCATGAGTCATAAAAGAGCCAAGGTTGACTACCCCTGTCCTAACTCCTATGTTGCTCAGCTCCTCCCTGTGGAGCTAAACCCAGGACCCAAAGCAAATAATCAAAACATAGTGTAGTATTTACAGAATACTACAGAACTTACTAGTGGGAGTCCCACCAAAGAATATTGAGAGATGGCCCCTCACACCACAAAGGGATGCATTCGTAGCCAGTTTGTTCTAACTAATGGTTAAGGCACCAGCCTAGAAAGCAAGACACTATGAGTTCAAGTCCCATCTTAGCTGTGAAAGCCAGCCAGGTGACCTTGTGTCAGATCTACCAGGACTTGAACCCCTTAAATAGAAACAATCTTTGGCTCCATTTGTTGAGAAGAGTATAGTTTATTAGAGGTATTGCAAATCCAGAATTGAAAATCTGGGCACCAAAATCCCTCAGTTTTATTTTTCCCTCCCTTAACCGTCTCTCATTGCCCACCCCAGTGTAACCAATCCAATTCAGGCAAGATGTTTACCCAGTGGCCAGTCCAAGCACAGTTTGGTATGTGGCCCCCTCCTTCTTCCAGCTGGGTGACCTTGAGGCAGCATCTGGAGGAGATGCAGCACTTACTTTCGTTTTCCCCCAAGTGGAAGGCCCCTCTTCGTTCCCCTCTCTCTACAGTTCATGGCAGTCTGTCACTGCATAGCAAGGAAGCACAAGCAAGCATAAGGCGGCAGCTGACACTTTGGGCCAGTCACATACTCTCAGTCAACCCCAGTTCACAGGGTTGTTGTTCTGGGGACAATAGGATTAGGAAGGTGTGTGAGACATGTAAGCCTTGAGTTATTTATAAAAATAATAAAGTCAGGAAACCAACAAACAAATAAATAAATCTCAGAAAGGCGAGAGAGACTAACGCATAAGCAACAGATGATAAAAACATGTTCATAGATAAATGATCTCATGTTATTATAGGTAATGGAGTTTAGATAATAATAATAATAATAATAATAATAATAATAATAATAATAATAATAATAATAATAATAAGCGGCATAACAAAGTAGCAACAATGGTGCATTGGAAGATCTGCAAAAAATATCATTTGCCTGTAAGCAAAAACTGGTGGGATCATAAAATAGAGAAAGTCATAGAAAATGATAAAATTAAACTGCTCTGGGACTTCAGAATTCAAACAGACAAGCACCTGCAACATAACACCCCAGACTTAACAATTGTCGATAAGAAAGACAAAAAAGTCTGGATAGTGGACGTGGCAGTGCCTGGAGACAGCAGAATAGAAGAGAAAGAACTGGAGAAGATAACAAAATACAAAGACCTACAAATAGAAATAGAAAGACTGTGGCAAAAGCAAGCAAGGGTAGTACCAATAGTCATAGGCTCCTTGGGTGCAATCCCAAAACAACTGGAGCACCACTTGAACACCATTGGCATTGACAAATTCGCTATTAGTCAATTGCAAAAGGCGGCCTTATTAGGAACTGCTTCCATCCTGTGACGATATCTGTAATATCATCAAACATCCACATCTGCCTATCCCAGGTCCTGGGTAAGGACTCATAGGTAGACAAAATGCCAAATCCAGTCTGAACATCTGGCTGACTGTGCGATGATCCATAATAATAATAATAATGTTGGAAGGGATCTTGGAGGTCATCTAGTCCAACCCACTGCTCAGGCAGGAAACCCTATACCATTTTGGACAAATGGCTGTCCAGTCTCTTCTTAAAAACTTCCAGTGTTGGAGCATTCACCGCTTCTGGAGGCAGGTTGTTCCACTGGTTAATTGTTCTAACTGTCAGGAAGTTTCTCCTTAGTTCTAGGTTGCTTCTCTCCTTGCTTGGTTTCCACCCGTTGCTTCTTGTCCTGCCTTCAGGCGCTTTGGAAAATAGCTTGACTCCCTCTTCTTTGTGGCATCCCCTGAGATACTGGAACATTGCTATCATGTCCCCCCTCGTCCTTCTCTTCATTAAACTAGACATACCCAATTCCAGCAACCGTTCCTTATATGCTTTGGCCTCCAGTCCCCTAATCATCTTTATTGCTCTTCTCTGTACTCTTTCTAGAGTCTAAATACCTTTTTTACATCCTGGTGACCAAAACTGGATCACTTCACGTGATCTTGATTCTATCTATTTCCTGTGCCTGTTTTCCTTCAGAAACCAAAAAGGAAGACAATTAAACAATAAATAAAACAATAAAACAGGGAGGAAAACATCTCCCATCAATCAAGAGGAGGGGGCAGTTTGGGAATGTCGGGGGGGGGGGGTAATTCCCTATTGCAAATCTGTGGGATTATTCTAAAAAAATAAAATAAAGAACTTTGATCTTACCTCTCTCTATATCAACTTGATTTAATTCTATTCCATTAATCTAAGAATTTGTTTTTCCCACATCCCCACCCTGCTCCTGTGCCCTGTTGGGACAGTGGGGGGACCTTATGGGATGGTGAGGTGGAAAGTTTTGATCCTGTAACTTTCTCCCACCCCTGCAGCCCAACAGAATAACAAAGGAAAGGGGTATCTCATAGTTTCTTCTGCTTTGCTGCTGGTGGATGCCTCTTGCTCAAGCTGAAGGAAGGGAGACTTCCTGGAAGCTGAGACTCTTGACATCCCCTTCCTTGCAAGAATCTCCTCTGAATGGGGGGGGGGGGGAAACTGAGGAGGGAGAGGAGGGGCAGCCCTCAATCCCAGACCCCCAAGAGAGTGCTGCAGTTCTTCCTCTTAATAGAAAAATTAATACCTATTGATACTACTACTCTTTGGAAAATGACATTTTGCATGAAACAGAAAGAAATGAACTTACAAGTTACGGTTTTGATAGTTAGCATAGATTATGCTATAATCATAGGGGAAGAAGTAAATTTATAATTGTACTTATAAATGCTATACATATTAGATCTTCCTTCCTTCCTTCTTTCCTTCCTTCCTTCCTTCTCTCCCTCCCTCCCAGTTTTTTCCCCTTTTTCTTATTCTATATTAGTTTCTACTAATTTTTAATTTTTTAAAAAATATATATTATATATATAATTATATACCTATAAAATTTTATTTCAAAATGCGTGCGCACACACACACACCCACCCACCCACACAGAGATGTGCTCTTGGATGATTCCCGGGTGATCTCCTAATCTTGGTAGTTACAGTTTCTGACTTTTATAATCCATAGTAGAACTAGATTGATAACATGATCAGAAATCCTTGAAGAATTAATTTGTTGCTTTACTTGGAGATACCAAGAAGAGATTATCTCCCAGCTTTTACATTTATTACCAGACCTAGTAGAATGAAGAGATGCAAAGCAAAATGTTTCATTTGTTCTGTTTTCCTGCTCCATTTGCCAAAGTTTAGAAGCGCAATCAAAGGCTTATTTTGTATACATCCTATTCTTCCTGCCTCTTTTTCTAAATAAACCCTGGAGTAATTGCTACAGTCAAATTAGGATATTTAAAGTTTTGTTCAGGATGCTTTGCAAAGAGCGTTAGAAGTTGCTTTTCTCAATTTGCTGCCTGCCAGATAAATGAACTTCCTCTTCCAAACTTCCCAGCCAGAATTCCAAGCTTGAAATTCTTGGAAGAGTCTCGCCTCTTTTAAAACTTGCCAAGGAGATCCCAAAATTGTCTGGAACAGCCAATTCCTCACTCACCTTGTTTTTTTGGGCTGCTTCTTGAATGGGGAAAACAATGTGGTTGTGATGCTGCTTGGTTTTGGCACACTGGGTGCAGATCAAAGCCAACTCATTTTGGCAAAAGAACTTCAGAGGCTTGTTGTGGACCTCACAGAGAGTTGAGGGCATTAAGCTAGCAGCAGCTCCAGCAGCATCAGCAGTAGCCATGGCTCCTCTCGTGGAAAGAACGAGAAGAAGAAGAAGAAAAAAATCTTCCCCCACAACTTCCTTTTGGCCAAGAAGGTCTCCTCCCACCGTGCCCTCAGTGTGTTCTTCACTGACAAGGCCATCTTACACGCCTCCAGCTGTATCACACCAAGGTGGTGTTTCCCCCGCCTCTCATTAAATACTTATCACTGTGAATTTAAAATGGCTGTCTGGAGTTGAGCCCGTTTCCCTGACTTCTCACACGGCCTGCAACTGGAGGGCGAACTTCAGAAGCAGATCATGCTAGGAGGGTTCCTGTGAGGTCACCAAGAAAAATGTGTTTAGGGTGTCATGGGAACTCAAATCTTACTTATGTGTACAATCATGCTGGCAACCCTCTGAAAGGCCTTTTATCGTCCTGTCTCAGAATATAGTTCTGTGGAGGGTTAGAATAAATTAACAGGTTCTGAAAGCTTATCCCAAGGGGTGTCCAGACTTTGCAACTTTAAGACTTATGGACATCAACTCCCAGAATTCCTCAGCCAGCCATGTTGGCTGAGGAATTCTGGAAGTTGAAGTCCATAAGTCTTAAAGCTGCCAAGCTTGGAGACTCCTGTTCTAGATTAAGTATCTCCAAACTCTTCGGCTCCTTGCCCCCTTCACGAAGTGCCAAATTGTTCATTGACCTCCGAGCATTCATTAAAGGAAATTACAGGTAGTCCTTGACTTACAACCATTTGTTGGTGGCTGTTCAAAATTACAACAGCGCTGAAAAAGGTGACTTACAGCCAGTCCTCACACTTACAACAGTAGCGGCATCCTCGGGCACACGATCAGAATTTGCCAACAAATATTTACAATGGTTGCAGTGTCCCAGGGTCATGGGGTTGTGGCCTCCCCAGCTGGCTTCCAATAAGCAAAGAGCTAGATCTGCTTAACGGCCATATGATTCATTTAACAACTGCAGTGGTTCACTGAACAAATAAGGTCATAAAATTGGGTATGACTCATTTTAACAACTGCCTTGTTTAAGAATGGAAATTCGGTCTCGATTCTGGCCTTTAACTAATAGTGCTGTACATACTAATAGTGGCAACATTGACCCCTTGGATAGTTCCATCCATTCTCAGGAGCAATTTTGACCACTTGGGGGACTCCTGCTTTAAATTCAATGTTCTTGGATAAAGCCAACTTAACTCTGGCCCATAAGGCTGACCCATGATCTCCAGATAAGAACAAACCCTGCTAAAATCAACAGGGCTGACATCTGAGCAGGCATATGACTACATTACAATCTCTGTCATAACTAGGGTTGTTTCTGCCCTTCTTTTACACCTGTGATCTTGGTAGCCTGCCTACACCCTTGTCCTAGGGCAGGGGTCCTCAACCTTGGCAACTGTAAAACTTGTGGACTTCAACGCCCAGAATTCCTCCGCCAGCAAATCCACAAGTCTTAAAGTTGCTAAGGTTGAGGACCCCTGCCCTAGGGGGATTCTTCGGTGAGTAACATCTCCAGTTGGTAGTGTTACCCATGCTCTCAAGTTTGGCTTATGGTCACTCACGCCACCACAACCCTGGTCAACAGCCCCACTCAAACACAGAAGCACAACCAGTTCTTTGGAAATACCCAGAAACCCAGTGAATTTAATGTAACAGCAACACTTTACTGGTTACAATATACATTCGTTATTTCTCACACACATATGCCCACACTCATCCACACTTATCCATGTCCTTCTCAACTAGGCTGTTGGGCATCAGCCAGAAGGTCAGAAGCTGCCCAGTCTGGATCCAAAAAAAAAAAAAAAGATTCAAAGAGTGAGTAGGTTTTAATACCTCTTTTATCTTCCAAAGCCCTAGCTTGCTTTGTTTTGTAGATTCTCACATCTGGCAGCTATTCTTGCCTGTTGGTGGGATTTGGGGAGAGGTTTCCCATGTGCTCAGGCCCAACTTCTTGTGATATGACATTTTTCCTTTGCTTCCTTAATGATTTGGGTCCTTCTTAACTACTTCTCTGAAGGGATCTTTTAGACAAAATTCCTGGTTCTTCTCCACCCTGCTTAGGTGAATCCTTCATCTTTAGACCTGGAGAACGCCAGGTAAAAGAAAGCTGATCTGGGGATATCTTAAGAAACCAGAAAAAGAAAAATGGGTGCTTTTTCATTGTTCAATAATTGTACCTCTGTCAGACAAAAATAGAAATCAGGGGGTTTCAGCAGCAGGTCCAGTTTGAATAAAATAGGCAGCTGCAGGAGCTAATTCAAAAAACGCTGCCACAGAAAAACAGTAAATATGATTCCATTTTGGGCAAGGCAGCTTTTGAAACAGCAGCAGTCTATTCTAAGAAAGTTTTAACAGAGGCAGTTGCAGGAAACTGGGTCTAGATGCAAATAGCTTGAGTGTTGAACCACAAGTTTTAGGTGCTAAAACTAAAGTTGAGAAAAGCTTGACATTTATGGAGCTGTTGGAATGTATCTACCAAGAGCAAAGTAACCACTAGGACCTTTCAGCTCTTGGAGTGTAATATTCTTTTCAGCTACCTATTTATTTACTAGCATGAGAAATCTACATGAACTGTGTGTGCTCATGTATTTATTTCATGCCCTTAATCCAGTGGTGGGATTCAAATATGTGAGCAACCAGTTCTCTGTGTGGATGCCGCTTCTGGAAGTTCGTTGTGGGCCTTGGCAACAGAAAATTAACTACCGGTTCTTCCAAACTGGTGCAAACCGGCTGAATCCCACCACTGCCTTAATCCTATCTGTGGGGTCCAAAGATTCAGTGCAATAAAAGTTTGAAAACTCCTTAGCAGAGTGTGAGCTCTGTTTTGTCTCATTGTCTATTTCAACATGAGCTGAAATCTTACAACAGCCCTGCAAGATAAGCCAGATGACCCTCTTCCCCATATTTAAAGTAGAAAGCTGGACAGCACAAAGAATTGCTCAAAGCTACCAAAAAAATGTGACATTTATGTTTGGGGTGCTTCAGTCTGAAGTAAAACCTTCTTAGAGCTGAACTCAGGGCCTGGTGACTTCATGGCTTTATCTTCCTGGCTTACTTGGCAACATAGAGAACTGCCTCTGTTGGGTCTATTTTTCCAACTTCTTAACTGTCCATGCTAGGATCTCTTAGTGGCCTCCTATCCTACCAACACTGCTTAGTTTCCGAGACCAGACCAGGAAACCTAGATTCATATCACTGAAAAGAATGTCAGTCTCGTGATAGTATAGTTCCCTCAATCAAAATAAAATGAGCAATTTGCTTCAAAAGACTCCTGATGTTGTTTCTCTTCTTGGCTAATATTGTAAGGGCAGTTTAAAGTAGAGACACAAGATTCCCTATCACTGCTCATGCCAAGTGGAGCAAGACCGCCATCTATTGGGGAAGACTCTAGAAAGAGTGCAGAGAAGAGCAACAAAGATGATTAGAGGACTGAAGGCTAAAACTTACAAGGAACGGTTGCTGAAATTGGGTATGTCTAGTTTAATGAAGAGAAGGACGAGGGGGGACATGATAACAGTGTTCCAATATCTCAGGGGCTGCCACAAAGAAGAGGGAGTCAAGCTATTCTCCAAAGCACCCAAAGGCAGGACAAAGAAGCAATGGATGGAAACTAACCAAAGAGAGAAGCAACCTAGAACTAAGGAGAAACTTCCTGACAGAACAATTAACCAGTGGAACAACCTGCCTCCAGAAGCTGTAAATGTTCCAACACTGGAAGTCTTTAAGAAGAGACTGGACAGCCATTTGTCTGAAATGGTATAGGGCAGTGGTTCTCAACCTGTGGGTCGGGACCCATTTGGGGTCGAATGACCATTTCACGGGGGTCGCCAAACCACGCTGTCCGCCATTTTTTTCCCTTTTCCCTAGCTGTCCTACTCCCTCTTATTGGTGGCCACACCCACTTGGGGGTCACCACAACATGGGGAACAGTATTATGGGGTCACAGCATTAGAAAGGTTGAGAACCACTGGTATAGGGTTTCCTGCCTGAGCAGGGGGTTGGACTAGATGACTTCCAAGGTCACTTCCAACTTTTTTATTATTGTTACTGTTATACTCCTTCACCAAGTTGGCCAGTGGTTGAGGGGCCTCTCTAGCCCTCCAACTCTCTGAGCATTTCCCCCCTTGCATTTCATTCACAGGAGCCCCAGCAATCTCGTTCTGCTGCTGCATTCCCATCATTCTCTTTTCCTCTAAATCCCTAGACCTCCCTGAGCAGCCTTAATATACCCTGATTTTTATAGGTGTCGAAGTAGTGTGCTCTCCTAGGAACAGTGAAATGGATGGAAATAAGATGGAAATACTATCAGCCAACAGTCAAGGAGGACCATCCAAAGTATGTTTGATCAGATAATAGTCTCTGTGCAAATCCTGCACAGAAATACAACTGAGACTCTGATTACTCCACCCGCTAGACCAGAGGTCCCCCAACCTTTCTCGGTTGGAGGACCAGATGGAAAGGGAGGGGGAAGCATTTTACATGCTTGCACACAAACAGGGCTGCGAGCATGCGCATGACACAAACAGGGTGGCACTAGCACCCACATGACACTCTCTAGCCCTGCCCCGTTTTTGCTGCATGGGCCCTGTTTTTGCCACGCAGTGCTCCGTTTAGGCTGCTCAGTGCCCCGTTTTCACTGTGCGACCGTGGCACTAGTGTTAGTGGGGGCAAGTGAGTGTACTAGCCAGCCTGTCCCACAGCCCGGCACGGCCTGGTAGTGGGCTGTGGCCCACAGGTTGGGGACCCCTGCACTAGACTGTTTCTCAAACCTGACCACTTTAAGATGTGTGGACTTCAATTCCCAGAATTCTCCTCATCTCTTCTTCTTAACTTTATAATAATTTAAGTGAAGGAATGGGGGTGGATAAAGCATATTGCTGTTAAGTTGAATGAAACCGATGAGTGTCAAGGTAAATATTGGTGTGCTCCTTAGCAAAGTTAAGTGTGGGAAATTTTGTGAATTAATTGGTTGCAGGCTTGAGAGGTCTGCTGTCATAAGATTTGTGGTTTGTGAGTAAATGGCCTATGCTGTTTTGCCAAGTTTCAGGTAGTGACCAGGTGCCAGAGAACACGTTCTTTTGAGGATCCGGAGATAATGAACACAACAGTAGGTAAGAAGAATTTTAAGCCTTAGTGTTTCACCGCAGCAAATAAATTAAATAGCCACACACAAAAAAACCAATATACTAAGCAAGGTTTCTATTTATTTCCTCTGGTGTTAACAGAATACAGCATTAACCAGTGTTTTTATTTTTGGTACTCACACTGTTTCTTCTTGCTGGAAGTTTCTGGTCAGGTCTAGCAGCCAGAATCTGAAGACTATTTTTAGACTATTTGGGGTGCACCCCGTCTACATTGCAAGATGTTGTCCCTTGAGCTGCTGGCAGCCCCATTTTCAAGCAGTGGAGATACTCCAAGGGCCTTAGTGCACAGCGCTGGGCACTCTGGAACCTGTGCAGAAGCTCAATCTTAGTGAGCAATTTTCAGAGGTTTATTAAAATTTAGCCTCAAAAGTTCATGGCTTTGATTCCCAGCTCAGGAGACTGCACGACCTGGCCTTGGTGAGATAACTCTGGAATGGAACCAAAAGTCTGATAAGGCAGTTCTCTGCAGCTGTGTGAAAATTCCTCTCCTCTTTTTTTCAGAAAAAGAAAAGAGCAAGAGCACAATGGGCTATAAACTTCTAGACCAGGGAGTCTTCAAACTTGGCCCTTTTATGACTTGTGGACTTCAACTCCCAGGTCAGGAATTCTGGGAGTTGAAGTCCACGAGTCATAAAAGAGCCAAGGTTGCCTACCGCTGGCCTAGACTGCCTCCATTTCCCTCATGGATTGAAAGACATTTCTACATGAATTGACCAGCTTCATCCTCGGTGATTTCCCTCATTCCTTTGTGCACATTATGTTCGATCGCTTTCCTCTCAGCTTCCGGCACTTCTGCCAAGACAGCCTTCAGCTCAGAATTGATTTTGGCCACTCTGGCATGGATGTTATTTTCAAATTCTTTCTTTTGCTTAATGACCAGGTCCTCTATGGCTTTTCGGGCATTGTCACAGCCGTCTGCTAGTTTGATCCGCTCCATCTGGAATTGGGGATCAGAAGGGTCCATGGAAATAAGCCTGCTCAGGCTGCCCACATTATCCATCAGGTATTTTGAAGACACGTCTGTGTAGGTCTCGGATATCATGTGCACCAAATGAGCTATGTTGGACGCATTGAAGGCCTGTTTATAGATCATATCTATGACAAAGTCTTGGTGGGAATAATTTGGAATTTGGGGAAGATCTTCGGCCGATTTCACAAATTCCGTCAGGCGCTTATTGAGACAGGAATCAATGAGATTCGAGATCATCTGGAAGAAACGCACCATTTTCTCCCACTGCTCCTTCACTCTTCCCATGGTGTCCAGGCCTTTGATCAGCATCTTTTGGGCTTTTTCAAAATCAATCTCCTTTATTTCACATTTCCTCATTTCACTGAGCACGTCCAGCAAATCCTTATTCTGCTCCTTTAAGTTGTCGAAGCTTTTCTGGTACTCTTCTTGACTCATCTTCAGTATTTCTTTCATTTGCTCGGTTTTCAAAAGGCTGTTTTTCATCGCTGATGACAACGATGAATCTTCTTGGACATTTTTCTGGGATTTGGCCATATTTGGTGCCATATTTGGAGAAGGCAACTTATTTTTCTTAAAGCTGAGCAAGGATGTCAGGTTGGCAGTTGGCACCGTCAAGATTTCTCTTACAGTTGAAGTGAAACCCAGAATTACACTACTCCAGCCGGTAGGAATGTTATCTACCTCTTTTCTATAATCATCAAAAGTATCAGTCACTCTGTTCTTCACTTCCATGTAGTACTCCTCTGCTTTGGCCTGGGATTTGGCCATATTTGGCGCCACGGGACAGAAAGGGGATGTGCGGTTGCAGGATTTGCTTCTGCTATCAAAAACAACAATATCAGTCGAGAGGGTATTCATTTTCTTTATCAGTTCTTTCTGGTTTATGTTCCCTGACTCTACTCTTTCAGTTAACATATTGGAAATCTCGATTATATAATTACATATTTTCATTGCCAGGTTTTTCAGGCTGCACTTTCTTTCTTTATTTATTTTCTCTAACAGTTGCTGGGATTTATTTTTGATCCATATGGTTTTGATTTCATTGTTTTTTTTATTGTAGAGGACATCCATGTTAATATTACCTTCATCATCCACCATGGTTTTAAGTCTGTCCACCAATACCACCATTTGACCTGACAGGGGACAGATGTTGTTCATGGCTATAAAGTCATCCTTACTTTCAAACTCTTCCTCACTTCTGCTCTTGATTGGAGAAAGCAATTTATTTCTGTTAGAGCTGACCAAGGATGTCAGGTTGGCAATTGGCACCGTCAAGGTTTCTCTTACAGTTGAAGTGAAATCCAGAATTACATTACTCCAGCCGGTAGGAATGCTATCTATCGCTTTTCTATAATCGTCAAACGTATCAGTCACTCTGTTCTTTACTTCCTTGTAGTATTCCTCTGCTTTGGCCTGGGCTTCTTCAGCTGCTGCTTTTCTTAGCTTCAGGTCTTCCAAGGCGTGTTTGGTTTGCGTCAATCCTTGTTCATACTGTGATTTGGAACTCATACACACTTCCAGGAGTTCCTCAGTCAGACAGATGACATCATAGAACTTATTGTCAACTGCCTTAGCCAAAGAGGAACATTCATTTGCAATTGATTTCAGGCTGGATAGCTGTCCAGGGAGCAAGGCATCTATCAAGGTAAGGTCACCCTGGAATAAGGTCTTCATGACCATCTTGATTTGCTCATAGAAAGCAGCCGGATGCCATCCATATTCTTGTGGGCTATGCTGAAGGCATGCCACCCACTGTTGCTCACCTGCATCAGGGAGGCCCGGAAAGAGTCCGGATACCTCATATATTTGTAGCCTCCCTCGGGTGGGGCAAGATTGATGGCAAAGTCTCCTTGTCCTGCAGCAATGCAAGCCAGCTCCCCTAAGAGGGCGATGGAAATGGGCCCAGGCATCAGATACTCCTCCCAATTTGCGTGGGGCTTCATCATCAGTTCTGTCTCCTTTTGGACTTCCTCTGCTTTGCTAATGTTCATCACGGCTCTCGTAGCAAGCGCACCTTTGGGCTGGACAGCCATTTCGGCCTGGATAAAACAAAAAGAAGAAGAAGAAAGGTTGAACAGTCAAAACTGTAGTCTCTGGAATACCTCGATTGGAAAAGATCCCAGTGAACTCAGGAGTTCTAGAAGACTTTGCCACATCCAGGATAATACAGTCATAATGTTTTTTTACTGGCGCTAATTTCCTTTTCAGAAATATGCATGCCAAGCACAGGAAATCAGGAGCTGAGGCGGTTGAAATGAATACAGGTTTATTGCATGTTAGCACTCTCTACAAGAATCTGAAGTGCTAACGGTTAAAGGCAGATTGGTGGTCGATAAGGGTCAACGGAATTCAAGGTGCGCTGGCCTTAGATCTCTTGTGAGCGCAAAGGGACTCGAGACTGATGATGTGCTTGACCCCTCCCTCGGGCTCAGTCTGGTCATCTCCTACAATGCAAAATTTGCCTGACTTGCTGCATTTTCATAAATTAGATTTAGAAATTCACTTCTGAACCTTTGTTTCACATGTACTTAGCTTGCTTCTATCAGAAATGTTGAATTTTAGCTCCTATAACCTCCAAAGCCAACCCAACGGCCACATTCAATGGGGATTTACAGAATTAACATCCAACATATCTGGACAGAATTTTTTAAATATTAATTTAATTAATATTAATTAAATGTTGTTTATTAAGTCTTTAAATGTTGTTTAACCAGTGCCAGCAATAAAAATGAATATATTTTTATACTTCAATCTAAATAACTGAAAACAGCTATATGATTAAAAAACCTAAACAATAAAGCTAAAAGAAAAAAAGAAAAAAACTAAAAAGAAAAAAATGCAGAACAATGTTCCAATAATATTTTCTACTTGCTTAGTATGCCAAAATCAGCGAAATCATAGTTACACAAATCATTAGAGTCAATGTTTGAACAAGAAATCAAACCAAGTTTATATGGAGTCCTGTTATCTGATCTTGCCTTTCTGGCAATACAAAATCTGTTCAAAGATTGAAAGCTGACAAATTCTGTTTAACCAAATTTTGAAGTCTCAAATACATTCATTCTTCAACTAATTACACAATCCCATTTAGTGCCACAGTAAAACCACAATACAGATAGTCCTCAACTTACCACCTACAACCATTCATTTAGTGACCATTCAAACTTACAACAGCACTGAAAAAAGTGACCCATGACCCTTTTTCACATTGAACAACCATTGCAGCATCCCCCTGGTCACGTGACCAAAATTCGGACACTTGGCAACTGGATCCTATTTGTGGCAGTTGCAGTGTCATGGGGTCAGGTCTGTTGTGGCCTCCTGATAAGCAAAATCAATGGCAAAGCTAGATTCATTTAACAACCGTGTTACTAATTTAACAACTTCGGTGATTCACGTAACTGGCAAGAAAGATCATAAAATGCTGCCAAACTCACTTAATAACTATCTTACTTAGCGATGGAAATATATTGTCGTATTTCAAGAAGTACCTGGTACCTCAAAGTATCTTCGTAGTCAAACTGAAGCTTTCCAATGTATTAACTGGAAACACGTTCACTTCTTTCAATGTAAGTTTCTCCCTCCCCAAGAGGACTTATACATTTAATAAATTGATAGTTTAGTTGAATGCATAAAGGGAGATAAATAATGAAGGACCTGTCTTGCTTCTTCCGGTCTTTCATTTCCCTCTGACTTTGATTCAAGCCAGATTCTCATCTTTCAATGTAACCTGACTTATCCATTTAATAAATAACTGAAAACTGAATGCATATTTTGTTTTGCTTATTCTGACTTCATCTTTCATTTCCCTCGGACTTTGATTCAAGCCAGATTCAAGAGATTCCTTTGACACCCCGGAATGTATTAAGAGTTAAAGTACAATTAGATTTCACCAACAGGTGGGATTTAAGGAAAAAGCCACTTTACAGCCACCTCCTTCCGTGAACTCAGGAACGGAGAAGAGAAACAAGCTTAAATTACATCCTCGCCATAATCTGCTTCCAAATACTAACGGAACATACACTTGTTTCCTCAGCCTCCTTACTCCGAGCTCTGCACGATTCTTTTCAGCTGTTGTCATCCCCCTAGTGGAGCACAGTGACACATAATTTTCAGACTTCGGCTGAATCCTGGCTTCCTGGCTCTTCCCCCATTTCATATGAGGACACCCCCAACCTCCACTGCAGAATCTGTCTCCATCCTCTCATTGGGCTTTCATTCAGTTCACTGTCCATAACCAGAAAATCAGCCTATCTCTGGCTCCCCCCCCCCATACTCTGTGTTTTCCACCCCCTGCGGGAGAAAGTTTTATGCTCCCTTAAGGACACGACCCTATGGAGGCTCACCTGTTGGTAAAAGACGCCGTGAGAACCACCATAAGAAACACCCCCTCCCCCGAGAGAGAGAGAGAGAGAGAGAGAGAGAGAGAGAGAGAGAGAGAGAGAGAGACTCACGTCGGAACTTGTTTGTCTTTGAAGTTCAGACTGGAGAGGAGCCAAAACCGGCTATATTCGCTCTGCGAGGGGTTTCGATGCTTTTGTGAAGCTCGAGCGGATGCGAGTGCTTTTTATGCAGCCTGTTTAGTTTCAGTTTCTGCTTTGCACTGATTCCTGGAAATCAGGCGTGTTCGGAAATCAGCCCAAGTTGTAAAAGGCGGCTTTTGTACCCAGGGCCTTAACTCTAAATCCTCCCCTGGATGCTTCAGGGAACTTCCAGAGGCCACCTGTGGAAACTCTGCAGCCTCTCTTAAAATGGGGCATTGCAAATCAAAACAGTTTCTGGTTTTATAAATACCCTCTGGACCTCTGAATGGGGAGTCCTTTCTTTCTTTCTTTCTTTCTTTCTTTCTTTCTTTCTTTCTTTCTTTCTTTCTTTCTTTCTTTCTTTCTTTCTTTCTTTCTTTCTTTCTTTCTTTCTTTCTTTCTTTCTTCTCTTCTCTTCTCTTCTTGATCTCTGAATGTTTCACCTCCATTTCTGGCAGGGATCAAATTAATTTCCTGCACTTTTTTCAATTCCAGTTTAGCTACACGAATGGCAATTTTTTCTCATCAAATTGGAAAGAGAGATTAGGTGGAATGCTACTAGATTCAGCCCTCTGTCCTCTACCTTTATTATTTTTTTAAAAATGACTTGGGGGGAGGGAAATGATGAATTCTGTAAGTTTGCAGATGATACACAACTGGATGGGTAAAATTCTAAAGCAGATTCCACATTCAAAACCAACCTGAAAGGGTAGGAGAAAAGGCAGAATAGCATAAAGATGTTTTAATGTTTTGAATTGTTTTAATGGTTTTTACTGTTTTAAAATGTTTTGAAGATTTTAATTGTAATATATGTTTTTAAATTGTGAGCCACCCAGAGTTGTTTACTCAGATGGGGAGAAAAAGGAAAGAAAAGAAAAGGAAGGAAAAGAAAAAGAGAGAGAGAAGGAAGGAAGGAAGGAAGGAAGAGAAAGAAAGAAAAAGAAAGGAAGGAAGGAAGGAAGGAAGGAAGGAAGGAAGGAAGGAAGGAAGGAAGATCTGTTGGAGACAAATGCAAGGTTCTTTACTAAGGAAATGATTATGACATGGCAACTGTTTTAGAAAGAAGGTTGTAATTTATTGAAGAGGAGAGCCAGACAGAAAGATGACTCTGGAAAAAAGTGACCACATGGAGCAGAATGGTGGGCTTTTATACCTTCTGGGGTCTCTTGAGGTTGTTTCCTGTTCCTGTTTGAGGCTTTGTATTTCTTGTGTCATGTACTTTGAGCTCAGTCTGAGTGTGCCCTTTTGGTATTGGTGGGTTAATCCTATTATGTCCTGTCTTAGAGTGGGGTATGTAGATTTTAGGGGTCTTTGTCTTCCTAATCTCTTCAGTTTCTAGATGGAAGGCGGCAACTTTTCTGAAAGATTATTACATTTGCGTTTCTAAAAGCTGGCTTTTGCTGAGTTCCCTGGCTGGGAGGGGGGGGGGAGAGAAGTTTCTGCCTTTTTAAAGATCTTCTCCATTATTCCTTTGGGGAAATATATTTTGCCTTTTTAATATTCCCCCAAATATTTCTTTCTCTGGATTCTTCCCACAGAGTATATACTGTATATAAATACAGGCACCCTTCGAGTTACGACCACAATTGAGCCCAAAATTTCTGTTGACAATAAGACAGTTGTTAAGTAAATTTTGCACCATTTCACTACCTTTCTTGCCAGAGTCATTAAGGGAATCACTGCAATTGTTAATTTAGTAACCCAGTTAAGTGATTCTGGCTTCCTCACATTGACTTTGCTTGTCAAAAGGTTGCAAAAGGGGATCACATGACACTGGGATTTTGCAATCATCATAAATGTGAATCATTTGCCAAGCATCCAAATATTGAACATGTAACTATGGGGTTACTGCAAGGGTTGTAAGTGTGAAAAATGATCATGCCACTTTTTTCAGTGCCGGTGTAACTTTGAACAGAAACTAAATAAAATGTTGTAAGTCAAGGATTCCCTGTAATGAGGACCATCTGGAATGAGAGTTGTAATCATGAAAAAAAAAATTAGCGTTGACTAGGGCAGTGTTTCCCAAACTTGACAATTTTAAGGCATGAGGACTTCAAGTCCCAGAATTCCACAGCCAGCGTTGCTGGCTGTGGAATTCTGGGAGTTGAAGTCCACATGGCTTAAAATTGTCAAGTTTGGGAAACACTGGACTAGGGTATATCATGTGGCTACCAAAGGCTACAAGCAAATTTTCCCAGAAGGGATGCTGACTTTATGTCAAAGTGTGGGGGAAATTTAAAAATAAAAATATATATGCTTTTAGTATTATCATGTAATCATATTTTATATTTTATAATTATCATTGTATAATCAATTGCCTGAGTAGATGCTTTGAGTATATAGGGAACATACAAGCCTCAGGTGGAGGAAGGGGGGAGAACAGGAGTTACCATGGGGCCCAGTGTGAGTCACCATCTAGGAATTGTTTTTAAGTACCTTCTGGTGCCTGGTACCCCTACTGGATCTAACAGGTGTAGAAGATGGGAGACATCTCTCCTCTAGAATGGATATGGGAT